GGGTAAAGAAGCGGTTTAAGAAATAAGCGCTGGGTTTCTAATAAACGCTGGGTACGTTCTTTATAAATGTATTCTCCCTTGATCCAAAAATAGATTTATTAAGGAATTGTCCCTAACTTTGACGTAACACTCACTAACAATTAATTACAGTATACCCAGGGCTCCAATGTGCGCTGGGCCTCTAATAAGCGCCTGGTCTGGAAGACCGTTGAAAAAGTATTTGCATTAGAGAAAATACGGCATATTAATTGTTTTATGCTAAATGTCCTAAATCCATTCACTAACAAAGCGTTGCTTTGATAAGTTGGCTCCACCTGTATCGCTTCTATCAGAGAGCACGGAATATTTCTCGCTCAGCAATGCGATTTGATTGGATGACTCAAAACAAAACACGTGTGGGAGTAAGTTAAGGGTATATAGCATACAATACAAGGGACACACTAGGCTGCATGAATTATTTCACTTTACAAATCATCTTTCCTCTCGTCTGGAAAACAGCAATTTGTTGACAATTTCCAAGTAGTTTTAACATGAGATTCCGACAGCTGTTATACACTTTGCCAAACATTATTTAAAGAAAAATAAATAGGCCATATATGAAAATATTCTTGTTTCTTATGGCCGCCTGACCTTAAGATTTCTTTCAAACAGTGATGAGAAACTAGAATATGTTTTTATGTGGCCTTATGTTGTTATCGACAATTGAAACAAACCCCATTAAAAGTGACTCTTTTCATACTACCAAAACAACAAAAACAGGTTATTCCCAGAATAACAGTATATCGTGATGGATAAAACAGAAACAGAAACCCTCGTATCTGCTACACAAACATTAGAGGACATCACGATACCGGGACCACCTTCACCCCCCATCAGAGCATCGCTTCCAACATCGACAAAAATGAAAATGTTAGTGTTCTCTGATCCCGCGACCTCCTATAGGTGAGCACAGGTGGGTTCTGTTACGGGCTGTACTATCGATTTAAAAAAAATGGTCGTCTATCTCTAGCTTAATGGTGTACATAAATAAAACTGAAAGAAGGAAATTCAAAATTCGTGGACTGCCAAGGTGCGGTCAAAACAATCTCTGCCATATGTTACAGGTTTCTGAATTTCTTTAGCTGAATTTTCAAATTCTGAACAGAAAACTCTTTAAAAATATTTTTTAAAGCCAGTATGGAACTGAAGTTTCCATTTTGCAATTAGTGTTCGAGAAATCTCCTTTCTGATTGGCTGATGTAGACTTCCTGTAAATCATCCATTGGTCGGTCAACGTTCGCGAAAGGCCATTCTAACAAAACCTGTAACGGCATTCGTCACCACTCGCCCCTTTCCGTAACATCCAAGATCGCTATTCGTCTTGTCCCCGAATAACACGAGTTGGTCACGAATGCTGAAACAGGATCTTCAGATCTCTGTGTAATGGCAGCAGGCACTAAGATCTCACTGAAACAACCACACACTACAACATCCCTCCAAAATATTTAATGCATGATGTGTTAATCTCAAATTTAATTTAAAAATTGCGAAAAATCTACATTTGTGAATTTTATGACAATTGTACATCTGTGAAGTTCATATGAGTGAGGAATAGCCAGATTTATAAATCAGTGTCTATGATCCACTTTGTATCGGATCATCTTCAGATTTTAGCAAATGATCCTTTTAACTAAATTTATGAACAGAAATATATTCTGATAATAAAATGACTTCTTTGAGTGAGGTGAGGTGAAATTGGGTTTAACATCGTGCCTGAGAATATTTCGCTCATATGACGACGTGCATGCATGTGTTTGTGTATGTGCGGCTGCTTGTACTAGCCCAGACTGAAGCTAGTTTTATAGTGCTAGCCCACTGAGATACTATGCCGCAGTGAAGGATGAATACCCCACTCAGACACATTATACTGACTCCGAGCCGACCAGACCTTGTTGTACCCATTAATGCCGAGCGCCAGGCAGGAACCAACAAGTACCATATTTTAACGCCTTTTGGTATGACGCGTTGGGGATCGAACCCTGCGAACCTTCCGCTATCGGGCGGACGCTAACCATTACACCATGGAGGCCGACTTCTTTGAGTGGCATTCTAGAAGTACAAAGAGATCTAAAACTTTATGGATAACAACTTCTTTATAACTACTACTGCTAATCTTGTAACTAAAAAGCCAACAGATAGCTTAGGCCCGTAGACAGACTTAATTATTCACAATATTTTACAAACTTAGGGTTAGAGGGAATGTGTGACTCTCCTTTTCACAGATAAATCTAATCTGTATATATGATAAATCCCTGAGATATCAACACAATTCTACTTCTAGCAAGGAAACTTAATCTGAGACTGAGCCAGTGGTTTTAGGCCAACAGACCTGGCTTATGTGGGGAATCAAACTCAGAATTTTGGCACGATGGTCTAGGCTTTCACTTGGCTGGGTCAGTGTCCAAATTTTCAATTTTTGAAACTGACACTGGCAAGGGAGAGAGTGAGTATGATTTTTCATTTCAGCAAAATTCCATTTACATCACTACCCATGATGCCTGCAGTAACCTTCAACGTGTACCGGTGAGGGGAGATAACTCCCTTCTTCAGATCAAATACTTGAGCCAGTAAGCTATCTCAACACCATCAAGACTCAAATACTATATATAAATAAGCAGTAAGGCAATCACTTGAAGATTAAAGGAGTCATGATTTACCCGTTATGTCCACAGGATTGAATGAGTATTATTTTAGGCCAAAAACAATTCAGTAATATCAGGAAGGGGATGCCAGGAATGGGTTTAACACATTGTTTCCATGTGGGGAATAAAACTGATGCTATAGCTTCACCCACTGGGCTACCAGGTATTTCCACATTTAAAAAAGTAAAAATTCCCAACAATTTCTAAGAAGATAAGATTTTTCTTTAAAATATCTGGGGGTAGTATGACTTTTTGTTTTTTAAAGGTCACATGCAACGTAGTAAAACACAACTTTGCAGATTCTGATACCTTTCGGTATGGACTTACCAAACAAAGTCAAAATGCAAATTCAACTTATAAAGTTGAAAAATAACGCCATGAAAAAACGCGAAATCGAGAGTTCAAACGTTTCACTAATTTTCCCCAGACTTTTCTGGGGAATACGGGTTTCAATAGCTGGGCTGGCTCCATAGCACGGCAAAGAAAGTGAAATAGGTTCGCTTTAACTTGGAAGCGGGCTGTCTGGTGAATACTCGCTGAAGGCTTTGGTGTGAGCTTATTTTTCATAATGTTTTGTTGATATCTCACAGGCGAGCTTTTATATGTTATGACAGTAAATAAACTGTTTATATAATTTCATTTGTCTATTTCACCACACGCTCTTCTTACCGAAGTCACTTTCTCTCAGTCTCGATACTTAAAAGCAATGTCATTATTTAGCGTTGACACCGCTTTGACTTTGATATAGATATGTCGCTGTCACAGACAAAACTCAATGTCTTGTTTTATTGACACCTGTGTGTCTGCCTGCCTGTCTGCTAATGACAATATTCAATACACAAACTGCGATCACTGACCACATGCAATTTGAACTTAACACCAATCAGGCTATACACCATAAACAAAGCGCATTGATTTATGGCCCGAGTTCAAGATCTCTGTCACATTATGTAATTACACAGACAGGCAGGTGTGATACTTGAACACATGACATGTTATGATGTCTGTTGATTGCAAAATGTTATACACAAAAAATGAGCATGTACTAGTATTTACAAAACCCAACATCTCTATATATACACACATAATGACCCGTGAAAGGCGCATCTGCTAATGAACCAGCCTTTACACTTGAGTGCACACCCACCCGGCTCTGACTGGGTTCGGTATCCCGGCTGCTTCGCTTCGAGGGAGGTAAACCCAAGTACAAAATATTGCACTTTTGATTTCCATGCGATTATAGGCTTATAATTTTGTTTATTTGTTTTTCATAATCAGCAAATGCATATTATATGTCATGAAGAAGTGATAATTGTGTTTTAATTATGTTTGATTTTTGGTTGCATGTGACCTTTAAGTATTCCAGCACTACAGACATTAAAGAAAATAGACTCGGTTTTGATATTAATCATAATGAGAGAGCACATGATGAGCCTCACCAGCCTGACTGTGCCAGGATCACCCGTATCCTACTTGCTGCATTCATATATAATCATCTACAAATAATAATATTATCATCAACTATACAATACAAGCAATTATAGATAATAAAAACATCATCCAATCTGTGTGCAGCATAGGTGATACTGGCCTCAGTCTCCATGGCAACAGGGCAATAAAAGACAATATCTGCATCACTGACCTGATACCTAGGACAGATAACACATACACAAGTACTGTTTAACAAACTCAAGACTAATAACTGTAGCTCACCTGGGTATGTAGTCAATCAAACCTTCAGGATGGGGTGGTTGGGGTAGCCTAGTGTTTTAAGTGTTCGCTCATCACGCCAAAGACCCGTGTTCGATTCCCCACATGGGTACAATGTGTGAAGCCCATTTCTGGAGTCCCCTGCCGTGATATTGCTCTGAATATTGCTAAAAGCAGCGTAAAACTAAACTCACTCACTCACATTTGAATTGATATCCAAATACGTTTACAGAACTGACGGAACTTTGAAGACTAGCATGTGTTTTTCTCCATTTGATGAACTAATATTTGTCCAATTCATAAGATTTGATTGTAGTCTTCAAATTCACACATTTTTTACCGATGTTACTGTAAACTAGCAGTCAATGGAAAACGAGGCGGTAATCAGTTCGTGATTGTTGAATGGGGTAAATTTGGAAACTGCCAGTTGTCTGTGGTCTGTGTTTGCGGCAATCAGGACCCCATCGTGGGGGATCGACTTATGCACGAAACATACCATTTTGACACTGATTTTAAGGGTCAAGTTTGGGGGTCGTCTTATTCATGGGGTCGTCTTATAGACTGTTATATACGGTAATATTTTGTTTATATCATAGGATTTTATTGTAATTTTGCTTCCGTAGCTTCCATTATAACCACTAAGCTACCCCGTCAACACTCTGTAGCATAAGGTGTGCTTAATACGAAATGTGGTGTTCCTTCTAATTTGTCTCAAGTTTGTATCCCTGTAAATGATGACATGAGTGAACACAAGTTTGAATAACATCACATTTATGACAGTAGCTGAACATCCTCATCTCATGGCAACAAAGATTGTTTTTCATGATTTGAACAAACACAAATTCCAAATAAAACATTAAAATTGTTTGCCAACTAAATTAGAAACAGTTCACTTCCCTTACCAGCAGGGTCATATTTATCACAGAAGGATTCTGCATTCCACGGAATTCTGACAGGTATTGGAATTCTGTTTGTTTGCAGAAAGATTAGAGAACTTAGCATTGTGAGATTGATACATTATTACAGTATTTTTTCTAAATATTATGGATTTAAAGTAATTTTAATTTTGAAAATACTTTGTTATATCAACATATTTGTCACTGAAGGAATCTGCAATTCCATGGAATTCAGTCTTGTACATGGAACTAAATTTGTTAATGCCATTTTTTATCAATATCTACACCTCTATTGAAAAACGTGTATCAGTATGATGCAAAATATCCGTGTATGAAATAAGCCAAAAACCCTGCCAGACATGAGGGCTGGTAACTTGAAAATGTTACCCAAAATGGATTTAACCAGACCAGACACCAAGCAAGATATGGTGAATTTACTCAGACCTATGGAACATCTAAAAATTTTACCAGACCATCGTGCTGGCTTGCTGTAAATCTAGACCGTCCGTCAGAAAAATTTAGCCCATCTCGGGCGGTCGGACGGGTCTTATTTCATACACTGAATATATATTTCAATGAATCTTTCATGATATATAAAATTGCCCTGATGGCACTATGTTGTATCGAGTACCTGTTCCAAACCTGCGTCGACTCAATTACACAACAAACATTCAGTTAATATCAGGACAGACAGGAGCCTGTGATTGTCAGAGTCTGTCTGACAGCATGGAGTCTAGGCATTGATGAGGCCCCGCCTCTCGCCGTCGCTTGATAGGCTGGACGTGTCAGACTCCCCCTCCGGGGATGACCGCACACACTGACCAGGTGGACGAACATCGTCATTCTTTTTTGGACACTGAAAGAGAGATGTTTTATAGAGAACATGAGAAGAGGTGTTTCTAAAAAACAATGTCAGGAAACAGGGCGATGCGGGTACCTCAACATTTACTTTTTAGTAAATATTATATACAAAATTATTTATTTTACATATTTACTTCCAACATTTGGTTTAGGTAAGCTCGTGAAGATCCGAGTTGGGTTGGACTTCAGTAACCCATGTTTGTTGTAAGAGGCGACTAACGGGATCGATGGTCAGATTCGGTGACTTGGTTGACACATCACTGTATCCAAATATAGATCTATGCTCATGATGTCGATCACTGGACTGACTGGTCCAGATTTGATTATTCACAGACTGCCACCATATAGCTGGAATATTGCTGACTGTGGCTTTAAACAACAAAGAAAGAAAGAAACTCTCTACTACAACATTTCTCTATTATTCTTGCTTCATATGAGCACGTGAGCAAAAATGTTATTTGAGAAAACTGATTGAATAAAACCACAACAGGATCACAATGCATTCTCACCTCCTTGCCTGTCCACAAGAAGCGCAGTTCTCCCCGCTTGCAGCCAATCACAGCCGTTGTTAGTAAGGTGCAAGGCACAAGGTACAGCAATGCTGGTTGGCCAGTCTTCATCAAGGCTAGCGCGACATATGTCAGTATCAAGCCTACCGCATAGGCTGGTGACAAAAACACAAAACATTACAGGAAAGACAGTAAAAACAATATAAACCTCTGACATATGTCTGTAAGTGCCATTTATTTTGAGCATGAGTGAGTTTTACGCAACTTTCGGGGGACCTCGGCGGGGGACACTAGAAATTGGTTTCAAACATTGTACCCATGTGGGGAATAGAACCTGGGTCTTCAGTGTGACGAGCGGACGCTTTAACCACTAGGCTACAGAGTGAGTAAGTGAATGAGTGAGTTTAGTTGTACGCCACTTCTAGCAATATTCCAGCAACATCATGGCAGGGGGACACCAGAAATGGGTTTCACACATCGTACCCATGTGGGGAATAGAACCCGGGGTCTTCAGTGAGACACTTTAACAATTAGGCTACCCCACCACCCAATTTCAGTTATGTAATAATGTGCATACTGAACATTTCATGGTATTTCTACATCAGAAAGATTTTATAACAGATCTTATTGCAGATCTATTTTTTTGTTGAAACACCTAAGAAAAAATCTATCTGCTCTATGTTTACTCAATGTGATGTTTAAATGACATACAGTTTGGAGATAAAAGTTCATTTTTACAAATTTTGTGGTGTTAATTAGTATTTCATGTGAGCAAACCATAGGTATGGGCCTAGTCTGTCTCACAGTCCCTTAACCACAATATTTCCCTTTCCACACAGCTCTTCCTGCAATCTTAAAGCCCAAAATGAAGCAAGTCTAGATTTCCTCAGGTTCTGAAAGTCCCTTCTCACTAGGTCTCCTTTTCAATTTAAATTTTATTATTTGTTTCAAAATTTGACATATGCAGAGACTAAGCGTTAGTCTAGGTATGGTCCTACAAATGCAGTCAATTCACTGTGCATCAAAACCATCATCACAGGTGTCTGTCTGTCGTGCCAAAGGGACATAACCCTTGGAGGCTGTACAAAACAATAGATTGTGAGTGAGTTGGGATTTATGCCGCTGTTACCAACATTCCAGCAATCAAACCAGTGGACACCAGAAATGGACATCACACATTGTACCCATGTGGGGAATCGAACCCACGGTTTCGGTGTTACACTGCACCTACAAAACAATAGCCTGACTATACTGTCTTCCAACAGTACGTGCTGGCTACTGGGGACCCAGTCTAACACAGAATCTCCAAGAGATGATGGTGATGATGATGATGATGATGATGATGTGTTAAAGGAAGACTCACCTATTGTGGAAGCAATGAAATATATTCTCCTACTCTTGACGATCAAGTCAAAGCCATGGTTGAACGATATCAACAGACCTGAAACATAGAACATTATGATGATGTCACGCTTGGAAGAACAGATCTCACTCACTCTTTCACTCTGAAACTCACCTGTCATAAACAGCTCACTCATTCAAGCTGAAGCTCACCTGAAGTATAATACAATGACATCTCCAAACCCCAGCAATAGTAGGGGCTTGAGTAACACGCAGCTCACTCACTCAAGCTGAAGCTCACCTGGTACAATGACATCTCCAAACCCCAGCAGTAGTAGGGCTTGAGTAACACACAGCTCACTCACTCAAGCTGAAGCTCACCTGGTACAATGACATCTCCAAACCCCAGCAGGGAGTAGTAGGGCTTGAGTAACACACAGCTCACTCCCTCAAGCTGAAGCTCACCTGGTACAATGACATCTCCAAACCCCAGCAGGGAGTAGGGGCTTGAGTAACACACAGCTCACTCCCTCAAGCTGAAGCTCACCTGGTATAATGACATCTCCAAACCCCAGTAGGGGTGAGTAACACACTCACTGAGCTGAACATCACAGCCAATGACACTCCAAACCCCAGTAGCTTGAAGCTCACTCCCTCAAGCTGAAGCTCACCTGGTACAATGACATTCTCAAACCCCAGCAGGGAGTAGGGGCTTGAGTAACACACAGCTCACTCACTCAAGCTGAAGCTCACCTGGTACAATGACATCTCCAAACCCCAGTAGGGGCTTGAGTAACACACAGCTCACTCCCTCAAGCTGAAGCTCACCTGGTACAATGACATCTCCAAACCCCAGTAGGGAGTAGGGGCTTGAGTAACACACAGCTCACTCCCTCAAGCTGAAGCTCACCTGGTTCAATGACATAACCAAACCCCAGTAGGGGCTTGAGTAACATGCAGCTCACTCACTCGAGCTGAAGCTCACCTGGTACAATGACATAACCAAACCCCAGTAGGGGCTTGAGTAACACGCAGCTCACTCACTCGAGCTGAAGCTCACCTGGTACAATGACATCTCCAAACCCCAGTAGGGAGTAGGGGCTTGAGTAGCAAACAGCATCAGGCGGGGTCAGGAATCTTGGCACTTTGAACACCATGGGAAGCTGAAATACGACAATAGATTCCTACTGTATAATAAGGGCACAGGCATTATTATTGGATATTAAAATGGCGCACATATTCATGCACTTGTGCATGCTCAAGGCGCTTGTATTTTTTTTCTCCTCGATCATTGGATGTCAATCTCAACGGCTCATCTTATTATCAATCTCCACTCCCTCGGGACCATACAACTCTTGCTGCCACAAGATGCACCGAGTTATTGCGGCTTTCCCATCCTTACGAGGTAAGGAATCTGTTTCATGGATCTCCATGTTTAGTGTCCATTGGACTCTCCGTTATATTGTCCTGGGGTCAAAGGACCTGGCCCATGCTTCATTTCACTTCGAGGAAGTTTACATAACAACTATCAATGCAGCATAACACATTTCACTGACAATATGACAGTAATGCAAGGGAGATAATTCTGGATATGTTAACATCATCAGTTTTCTTATTAAAATTCATGCAAAGGTTCACTAGTTGTACAAACCACATAAACACATACAAACATACAAACATACACAACGTCAATCGAGACATAGCAGAGTAGGACCCAGGACTTTGGAGAACATATATGTGTGTGTGTGCGTGCATGTGTGGCACATATATCATGAAGTCCAAAGGTTAGGGGGAAATGCTCTTTAGGCCAGACCAATCTTGTTTTACGGACAAGCCGGTCATATTTTTTCAAGAATAAGAAAAAAATACAAATTATTTTTCCCTGCTCAAAATATAAAATATTCATGTTTTTATTAGCCACAAATGTAAACTTACCTAAAAAAACCCTTTTTTTAAAAATTATTTTTTTCAGCACACAACACACCCATACAGAACACACCCGGTACAACGCAACAAGCACCAAACACTTAACCCCTAAAACAAACACCCCCACCACATGCCCATACACATACAACATTCGTAACAACTCGCCTCTTTCCGTGACCTACAAGAAGACTCGTACCCCTATCGTACGCCATTATTGCCAGGAATCGTGGCAAACCAATCAAATTGCGAGTAGTAAAACGCATTTCGAAGCATGAAACTGGCGGAACAGTTGAACTTTGAAACTTCGCTAAACTATGCAAAGCACAATTTAAACATAAACTTTTAGCTGAAGGACCAGAAACTTTGAACACTGAAATATATTTACAAAGGGAATGACTGTATTGCTGTTTTGCCCACAGGCTATAGGATATTCTAGGAGATTTTTTGAAAATTCAGAGTTATCTTTCCTTGGTAATAGTACTAGACTATTTTCATCTACATGCCCATTTGCGCTTAGACAGGTCCCAGTCGGAAACATGGCCACGAGAAGGGTACGAGACGCCATCCAGCTTACTGGCATGACACAAGTAGTTACGAATGACTCGCATAGCAGACACACACAAATGTAATGTTACCTGCTCCCCACTGTGACTCTTCCCACCGGTGGCGACGTCCACCATGATGCTACTTCCATTCTACAACAACAACACTATGTTGTACAATTATAAACAATAACAGATCAACAGCTAAGTGAGCTTCGACACCGTAATAACACATACCAGAAACAGTGTTAGTCACTCACGAACAGAATTATACATATCACTTTAGTACAATATATCATGTTTAGTACTCAGAAGGGGTCGGTGGGGTAGCCTAGTGGCTACATTGTTCGCTCGTCACGTCATAGACCCGGGTTCGATGCCCGACATGGGTACAATGTGTGAAGCCCATTTCTGGTGTCCTCCGCTGTGAAATTGTTGGAATATTGCTAAAAGCGGCGTAAAACTTAAGTCAAAATGAACCCTGTCTGACTGACTGACTGAGTTTGGTTTTACGCTTTTAGCAATATTCCAGCAATGTCACGGCGGGGGACACCAGAAATGGGCTTCACACATTGTACCCATGTGGGGATTCGAACCCGGGTCTTCGGCATGAAGAGCCAACGCTTTAACCACTAGGCTACCCCACTGCCCCCAACCCTGTCTGACAGACAGAAGAGAGAGTAAGTTGGTTGTACAACAGTATTCCAGTTATGTTGCAGCATGTCTGCTAGTGGTGTTCCGATGATCGAAAATAATCGAAAATCGATCGAAAGAAGGATTAAAAATGATTATCAATTCATCAGAATTTTGTTGTTTTTGTATAATACCCTTGAATGAAGTAAACTAGCCATCAAATTTGACGAATATTCACAAACAAACATAAAGCTATGCACATTGTAAAATTTTAACCACTTTTATTGTTTAATTACAATTCCAGTGTCTTTCTTGCATGCGTGCATTTGACTGCATTAGTTATAAAAAAAAAAAAAAATAATAAGAAAAAAATGGGGAAAAACCCTTAAACTTGGTGATTACATTAAGAATGTATATATTTCGATTATACCCTAATCGATAATCGTTCACCACAATCCCTTCGATAATCGATAGTGGATTTGGTTTCTGATTCCCAACACTAGTGTCTGCTTAATGTGGGAGGAAAGCCCAGTAGAGATTATTAACCGAGTATGTTTCTCTTTTTGCGAGCATAATTCATATTATTCATTCCTAAGGCCAGACCATTTTTATTTCTTGTATTACAGATTTTTGTCCTCTGAAAACCTAAAGGCAGGAGGGAAAAAAATAAAAAATAAAAATCACCAGTCAAAGTAATATTCCTTTTAAATACTAACAGTATTTTATTTTTGGCAATTTATGAAGTTTTTATGGGGCAAAAAACAATCCAATAATTTTTTTGTAAGTTTACACTCTTGGCCAATAAAACATGAGGTTTTTATTTTTTGAGCGAGGAAAATTAATTTTTATTTTTTTTCTTATTCTTGAAAAAATACAACCGCGGGATCCAGTAAAACAAGAAATAACATTGGTCTGGCCTAATATATGATATTAATGATACAGAAACACACGAGGTTAATAATCTCTTCACATATAATGTCATTCTTAAAATTACTCTAAAAATGAAGCAAATCATATGTGAATATATATGAAGAGAATCAAGCATTCGCGTAAGAATACTTAGCGGTATACCAACGTGAAGGTCGTTCATGAAAACCCCCTGTAAACTCGGAACGATATCATCAATGAAATGTTAACATTTTAGGATTCGCATGGCCTGTATGGAGTTTTATGAAAGTAGTTTGTGTATTGACCTAATTTGCATATTTATCAGATTTGGAATAACTCCCTTCATCATATGATAAAAGTACTTTCCAGACAACTATCTCACCTTGGTGAAGTATGGTGTGATGAAGACAAAGAAAATGTCGTAGAAGAACAGCAGGACAAGTAACACTGTGCATGCCTGGAAAATACATCAAGGGAATAGTAATCTCTTTATTCCACTTACAATCAGTGCCAACTCAACTAGCTATATAGATTTGGTTCGTTGGTTTGTTGTTTAATGTCGCACTCAGCAATATGACACTATATGGCGGCAGTCTGTAAATAATGAAGTCTGGACCAGACAATCCAGTCAGCAAAGATGAGTGCAACTGGGAAACGATGACATGTGTCAACCAAGTCAGCGAGCCTGACCATCCGATCCTGTTAGTCGTCACTTACGACAAGCATCGGTTTCTGAAGACCAATTCTAACCCGCATCTTCACGGGTTACCTGACTGAGATAGTATAATCCCAATTATATAATTTGTTCAACAGAGAAAAGTTTGAATAGCTAGATAGGTTTACGCAGGTTGTGATCAGTCATGTGACAGTCACGCAAGCTTGAAAGTTGTTCCAATATGGGTTCATGCTATACAGAAAATAATACAGAGCACATTATATTTTTCTGTACAGAATTACTTTTCTTACCATGAAGTTTGGTAGGCGTATAGTTTTCAACATGTTCACCGAGAAAGCCATTCCGAGAATGTCCTGTATAATCCATGCATAGCTGCAAAGAAACAATATGAGTTAGTGAATGAATGTTGTTTTACGCCCAGTAAGCAATATTCATTAAGCCAGTGGCTAAAACTGCAAGCAATCATTGATGCTGTTAGGGATTGAAGTTACACCTAGAGACGACCACTTGAAGTTAATCAGCTCTTAGGTAAGGTGAGGGGAAATTGGGTTTAACGTCGTGCTTGAGAATATTTCACTCATATGACGACGTGCATGCGTGTGTATGTGCGGCTGCTTGTACTAGCCCAGACTTAAGCTGGTTTTATAGTGCTAGCCCACTGAGATACCATGCCGCAGTGAAGCATGAATACCCCACACAGACACATTATACTGACTCCGAGCCGACCAGTCCTTGTTGTACCCATTAATGCCGAGCGCCAGGCAGGGACCAACAAGTACCATATTTTAACGTCTTTTGGTATGACGCGGTCAGGGATCAAACCCGCAACCTTCCGCTCTACGGGCAGACGCTCTAACCACTACACCACGGAGGCAGTCAATACCCTCTTAGGACCAATAATAGGCACTGTGGACTTGTTCCAGTGGGTGAGTGAGTGTGGTTTTACGCTGATTTAAGCAATATTCCAGCAAGAGTTGTATGTTCCCCAGGGAGTTGAGATTGATAATACAATGTGCAGTTGAGATTGACATCCAATGATCGACTGAAAAATACCAGTGCCTTGAGCATGCACTAGTTGCGTGGATATGTGCACTATATAAATATCCTATAATAATAATATTACAGGGGACAACAGAAAGGGGGACACCAGAAATGGGGCTTCGCACATTGAACCCATGTGGGGAATCGAACCCAGGTCTTCGAGCAGACGCTTTAACCACTAGGCTACCCCAACGCCCCAGAACACATTTGAGGCGTTTGCTTGTCCTTTTAACCACATTAATATTCCAGCAATATTATCAGAAATGGGCTTCACACATTGTGCTCAAGTGGGGAATCCAACCAAGGCCCAACTAGGCTCTTTACACCAACTGCTACACCCTGCTCAGCCTACTCAAGTGTCTTTGATATCAATGAAAATTTAGCATGGTGGGTGGGCTGGTTCAGGTGCCAGGCTAGTGATCCAGCGAGCTTGAGGTGACGGGGATCAAGTCCACCTGTGACCGGGTGTAAAACCTTTGAGTCAACTTTGTGTGCAAAACCCTAGTGTACAGTACACAACCCTGTGCACTTAAAAGAACCCACGAAACCGTTTGTAAATGACCAGATGGTGGCCACATGAATATGTGGAAACACCTAGTGCGGGTACAACAACGCAGTAAACTTGGACAAAGTACTGTGACTATGTGTCCCAGTCCAGCCAGTTGTGAATATGTACCTTGTAAGGATGGGAAAGCCACATTAACTCCTTGAGCATGTACTAAATAAATAAATAAATAAATAAATAAATAAATAAATAAATAAATAAATAAATAAATAAATAAATAAATAAATAAATAAATAAATAAATAAATAAATAAATAAATAAATAAATAAATAAATAAATAAATAAATAAATAAATAAATTACTCACCTGTTGAAGATATCACTGTTTAATAATTTTACAATGTTATTACACACTGTGTAATAACATCACGTGGTGCCGTATTTATATGACGTAAAACTGGTTTACAGTTATGACGTCACAATGCTAATACCTCTGTCACAATAGTATTAGACCTTGCTTGACTCACGGAAAGCTGAGAGTCATCACACTCGTTGAATTCTTAGGAAAGAAGCACTTTGCTCGATATTATTTTGCTAATGTTAGGTGAGTAATAAATAAAATACTAAATGATGTCCAATGTAATACCATATTTATGAAACTTGCTTCAGCTCGTGAGATACCAAACCATTCATTCGTTTCATAAATATGGTATTACAGGGAACATTGTTTAGTATTCTCTATATGTAAACCTGCATTTAATCTACTGACTGAGGGCAATGCTGATCTGTTAAATGTAGAAGATAGTATTTCCTCAGTTCTGTCTTACCCTGTGCTCAGTAGCTCCAGTTCAATGATACCCACCTTGCTTTTCTCTCCACAGCCCAGAAGATGCTGACGCCCAGACACAGCAGCCCGAGGACAATGTTCCTGATCTCTGGCTGTTCAGAACAGACTGGAACTCTGTTGGGCGGAATTCTGGAAACACAATAATGTCTAGCTCTGATACTGAAACTGGGACAGTTGATAACAATAGTATGGAGTATTGTTTGTTTGTTTGTTTGTTTTTACACTCAGCAATATTCCAGCTATATGGCGGTGGTCTGTAAATAATCAAGTCTGGACCAGACAATCCAGTGATCAACATCATGAGCATCGATCTACACATTTGGTATATGATGAACTGTATCAACCAAGTCAGCAAGCCAGAACACCCGATCCTGTTAGTCGCCTTTTTACAAGAAACATGGGTTACTGAAGACAGTGTATGAAATAAGGCCCGAGTTAGATTTCTGACGGACGGTCTAAATTTACAGCCGACAGCCAGCCCGATGGTCTGGTAAATTTTTAGATGTTCCATACATCTGAATAAATTCGGTACATATTTAGTCTGGTTAAATCCATTTGGGCTGGTAACATTTTGAAGCCCTTTATGTCTGGCCAGGTTTGGGGCTTATTTCATACACTGCTGAAGACCAGTTCTCACTCCAGAATGGAATATTTGTTTGTTTGTTGTTTAATGCTACACTTAGCAATCGTCCAGCTATATGGCAGTGGTCTGTAAATATTTTAGTCTGGACCAGAAAATCCGGTGATCAACATCATGAGCATCGATCTACGCAGTTGGGATACGATGACATGTATCAACAAACATAGAGGAGTGAGGAGGTAGGTTCTGGATATTCATGGCTGTTGTAAAGTCTCCAATGGTTATGGTACTGATGGACAATTATCTTGATGAAGAAGATTTCAGATTTCAGTCCACGACAAGCAAATCCTGGCACTCCAAAGGGAAGCAACTGCTGTCAGTGTGGAGACAAACACCATACCTGCAGTCCGACCTGATCACTCTCTCCCACAGGGGCTGGAGGCAACTGTACAAGCCCACAGCACCCGCCAGGCAGAACAACCCGATAACTCCATACACTGAAACAAACATCACAGAAATGTTGAGACAGAATTCAAGACAGTCAATGTTACAAATGTATGTTAAGGATTGTCAGGTATCGTTTCCTGTTTAACACCATACCCAGTGATGTTATAAGTTGTATGCTTCTCCCTCGGTTAATACGGTCTGATGTACACCTCTGTGTAGCAGTATCACCGATCCGAGGCGAGGGGCAACATTGCTACAAAAAGGCGTATCAGACAGTATTACCCGAGGGAGAAGTTTACAATGTATCTATCTTACCGCCATGTTAAATGTACAAAATATCATTTTATTTTATTTGGAAGATCGCTACCGACTATATGACATATAACAAAATGGCGTTTGCCTCTCGACTGGAGTTTTAAAATCAGTGAAACATATTCTAACAAGCTTAAAACTGCTATAAAACTGTCAATTATGTTTAAATTGGGTGTGCAAACGATGCAATGTATAAAATAGTTTAAATAAAGCAGTGAAAGTCGGTAAAATAAATGTGTACACAGTGAACTCAAAAACAGCTAATTGAATGGTTTCAACTCCAGTGCACTGCATGCGTCATATTATGATTGTTTGTGATACAACTTTTCGGCGGAGAGTTTGGCGGTTACCGTGGCAGGGGGTATTATTTTTTCAAGTTGCCACCAGCAGGGGTGACACAGAAACTTGTTAAAGCGTCATTGACCAATGAAACTAAAGTATTTTACATGAGGGTAAGATAATGAGGCTGTATGACTGCAGTCACTGGATTTTGTTTGTTTGTTTGTCATTTATTGCCACAATCAGCAATATTCGATCTATACGACGGCAGTCTGTAAATAATCTGGACCAATCAGGTAACTAACACCATGAGCATCAATCAGTGCAAATGAAATGCTGTAAATATTCAATCCTGGACCAGAAAAACCAGTGATTGATATCATGAGCACAGGTTGACACTATTGAGAATACAATGACAAATGACCTTCTTTGTAGCCCTGGATGTGCTGCTAGGGTTCTATATTCTACCCTGAATCCCATCGAGCATGGACTATTGCTGGTTTTATGGCCAGCTAAATGAGATTCCATTTCGCAATTTCGACAGTCAACATAAATACACTAAACTGACTCTGAAACGACAAGTCCTTGTTCTATCATTTTAATGCTGAGAGCCAGGGTAATATAAAGTAACAGCATCTTCTGGAAGGGTCACTAACAATGGAAGGATCACTAATGATGGAAGGATCACTAACAATGGAAGGGTCACTAACAATGGAAGGATCACTAACAATGGAAGGGTCACTAACAATGGAATGGTCACTAACAATGGAAGGATCACTAACAATGGAATGGTCACTAACAATGGAAGGATCACTAACAATGGAAGGGTCACTAACAATGGAATGGTCACTAACAATGGAATGGTCACTTAACAATGGAAGGATCACTAACAATGGATTGGTCACTAACAATGGAAGGATCATCACTAACGATGGAAGGATCACTAACAATGGAAGGATCACTAACAATGGAAGGGTCACTAACAATGGAAGGATCACTAACAATGGAAGGATCACTAACAATGGAAGGGTCACTAACAATGGAATGGTCACTAACGATGGAAGGATCACTAACAATGGAAGGGTCACTAACAATGGAATGATCACTAACAATGGAAGGGTCACTAACAATGGAAGGGTCACTAACAATGGAGACCCGTGAAGATCCGTGTAGAATAGGTCTTCAGCAACCCATGTGCTTGCCATAAAAGGCTTAATTATCTTGTCGTGAAGAGGCTTAATTAACGGATCGGGTGGTCAGTTTCATTGACTTGGTTGACACATGTCATCGGTTCCCAATTAAGCAGATCGATGCTCATGCTGTTGATCACTGGATTGTCTGGTCCAGACTCGATTATTTACAGACCGCCGCCATATAGTTGGAATATTGCTGAGTGCGCAGTAAAACTAAACTCACTCACTCACTCACTAACAATGGAAGGGTCACTAACAATGGAAGGATCATCACTAACGATGGAAGGATCACTAACAAAGGAAGGGTCACTAATGATGGAAGGGTCACTAACAATGGAAGGGTCACTAACAATGGAAGGATCATCACTAACGATGGAAGGATCACTAACAATGGAAGGGTCACTAACAATGGAATGGTCACTAACGATGGAAGGATCACTAACAATGGAAGGGTCACTAACAATGGAATGATCACTAACAATGGAAGGGTCACTAACAATGGAAGGGTCACTAACGATGGAAGGATCACTAACGATGGAAGGATCACTAACAATGGAAGGGTCACTAACAATGGAATGGTCACTAACGATGGAAGGATCACTAACAATGGAAGGGTCACTAACAATGGAATGATCACTAACAATGGAAGGGTCACTAACAATGGAAGGGTCACTAACAATGGAAGGATCACTAACGATGGAAGGATCACTAACAATGGAAGGATCACTAACGATGGAAGGATCACTAACAATGGAAGGATCACTAACGATGGAAGGATCACTAACAATGGAAGGGTCACTAATGATGGAAGGATCACTAGCGAAAGAGGTGGTCTTAATGACAGTGACTTGAATTATTCCCTAAATACCAAGTGCCAGCCAGGGTAACAACAAATACCATCTTTTAATATCTCCTGATCAGATTCAGAAGGTGATTGACTCTCTGACCACTAGTCAAGGACGCGTGGTCTTCCATACAAGACAGTGACCTGGCTTACGTGTAGTTTACATACCCAGGTAGTCATAGAAGAAGTACAGAAGCACGATCATGGTGCAGATGACGACGAAGAGGACGACGACAACACAGACACTGATGCTGAGAGTTTCTGGCTGTTCCTCATCCTGTTTGTCCTCCGGTCGTGACGAGTCCACTGACCCCTTCCGTCGGTGCGACTTCCGCTCCGCACTGTATCAAGGGAGACAACTTGTTTGTTTCACTATGCACTCCGCAACATCACCATGGTCAGTGACAGCTGCAGTCAACTACAGTTATGCGTGAGTGAGTGAGTTTGGTTTTACGTAGCTTTTAGCAATATTCCAGCAATATCACGGTGGGGAACACCAGAAATGGGCTCACACATTGTACCAATGTGGGGAATCGAACCCAGGTCTACGGCGTTATGAACAAACGCTTTAACCACTAGGCTACCCCACTGCCCCACTACAGTTATGACAAAGTCAAAGGATAAAAAACAGTAGTTATATATCTGAGAGTTCATTACAATATCAATATAATGTATGAAAATAACCTCCCTCCCTCCCCTAAAAAATATATAGTTAATTTACATTTTGAGTTGGCACGGCTTATTTTCGAAATATAGAAATCATATTTACTATTGTTAATGCCTCAATCAGTTGTCTGATAATACAGTTCCCTTGTTCAATTGTACTGAGAATTCAAAAGCCTTGACACCGATTGGCTGATTATAAAGTTCCTCTCATGAACGGGTGGTGGGGTAGCCTAGTGGGTAAAGTGTTCGCTCGTCATGTCGAAGACCCAAGTTCAATTCCCCACATGGGTACAATGTGAGAAGCCCATTTCTGGTGTGCCCGCCGTGATATTGCTGGAATATTGCTAAAAGGGGCGAAAACCATACTCACTCACTCACTCGCCTGATGAATTGTACCAAGTAATTAAAAGCCTCAACACTGATTGCCTGACCAATAGTACGAATAATTTAAAAGTGTTGACACTGATTGATTGATTACATAGTTCCCCTGATCAGTTGTACCAAAAGTTAAACAGTCAACACTGATTGGTCGATTACAAAGTTCGACATGACCAGAGATGCCAACCCCAAAGTGTTGCAAATAGTAGTTTCAAGGATCAAAATTAGTAGTTTGACCATAAAATTAGTAGTCAACTAAATACTTAAATTCATTATGGACTCTGAGAAAGATAATATGACACTAATTAAGAGTGATGGTTTAATTTCACATACATCGAACAGCAGATTTCCAAATTATCAGCATTACGTTTCTTCTTCTCGTCTCTTTTTGGCAAAAATGTATATTAATTGCCGAAAATATATGTTTTTGTCTAAATATCTGAACTTTAATGAATTTTCTTCAAATTTCGTAGAATTTCTAGTGCAATTGTAATGGTTTAGTTTGTGGCTAACATTCGTAGCAACAACGAATCATAGAGGTTGGCATTTCAGTCTAAGTAAACTTAGGCTCAGTATTATTCGTTACGCTGCTATACTGAGTCTAACAAAACCTTGTAGAAGGCAGTGTCAGCTAACCTATGAGCGACCTATGACCGTCCAATCAAACGTGAGACGGCCGAATGGACTTAACCAATCAGACAATGACTACTTGTTAAGGTTCGCCGGGAATTACAAAACGTTTTTTTTATTTTCTCTTCGCTGGTCGCTGACAATGATCTATCAACAAACGAAAATCTGCATAAAACACAGATATTTGACCTGCAGTATATACGCTTATGGGTTTCTAATGACATGGTTACTATTACCTTATATTTCCGCAAGATGACATCCTTGAATATTGACAAAAACGCTATTTTCAGTGACTGTTTACTCATTGCGCCCTCCATGTGTATCACTCGGAAGTGATCGTGTGGAAAATAGCATTCGGAATTGTTCGAGGTTTTGAGGAAGAGGTTCAAACAGTATGTGTGAATATGAACGTTTGTGATTTGGTAAGCTGTGTTCTGATTGGTCAGTCCAAAAGGTTAGATGACGAGACCTTCTACTAGGGTTTGTTAGACTCAGTATAGCAGTGTAACGAATAATACTGAGCCCAAGCTTACTTAGACTGGTTGGCATCTGCATCACCTGCTATACACATATCCTCAGATCTACACACAGGGAGGTACTGTATAAGGTCAAGTAATGTGAATTTACTGTAACCATGGTAACAAAACCATCAACTTACAGCGCATATCTGGTGGTCCCGGACCAGTAGGCCCCTATAATGATGCAGGTCAAGGCAATGGCGTAGATAAGCACCATATTCGGGTCAATCTTCGGGTCAGCAGGAGTGTACATCCACACAGACAGGGAGCCTCCGTCTGCAAGGTGCTGAAGAAGCAAAACCAAGATTCCGATTCCAAAAATACAGTCTCAAAGTCCCTGAACTGCCTTATCTTCATTTCTGCCCAGCCTTTTCTGTAGTGCTACTTGCTGTAATCTACTTCAGGGTGCGATTCCGGGCTTTTTTCAGTACCTGCACCGAGTACAATCTGGCTTATAGGTTTGGCTGCAGCATCAAATTTTGGTTGCACCACAAAATAATGTCTAATGGTTCTAAACAACGATACAAGAATCTGAATCAAAATGTTGCACTACCTGAATAAAGAAGTTGTTCATCCATAAAGCTTGTTTTTATCTGACTTTCCAATTGCTAAAAATGCCACTCAGAGAAGTGGTTCTTAAATGTAACATAATTATTGACCGCCACCGTGGTGTAGTGGTTAGAGCGTCTGCCCGGAGAGCGGAAGGTCGCGGGTTCGATCCCCGACGGCGTCATACCAAACGACGTTAAAATATGGTACTTGTTGGTCCCTGCTTGGCGCTCGGCATTGATGGGTACAACAAGGACTGGTCAGCTCGGAGTCAGTATAATGTGTCGGAGTTGGATATTCATGCTTCACTGCGGCATGGTATCTCAGTGGGCTAGCACTATAAAACCAGCTTAAGTCTGGGCTAGTACAAGCAGCCGCACATACACATACACACGCATGCACGTCGTCATATGAGCGAAATATTCTCAGGCATGACGTTAAACCCAATTTCACTTCACCTCACTTGTTTCATTTTCATAACAAGTACTCAGTGTCAGAACCTGACCCCATGATGATAAATGATTAATGATTCTGCTTCAGTTTTGCCGTGCCTTTATTTATGAATCTCAAATACAAAATGTATATGATTACCGCTACTTAACTGATTAATGAGTACACAATTTTAGGCTTGTAACAAGTGTTGTTACTTCCAGCCACTTACGTCTCAATTAAAACACACAATAACACCTTTAAGACGTTGCATCATGTATTGTACTTACATGAAGCAAGTCAAAATGTCCTCAGGTTTAGGTCTGAATCTCCCTTCTCAATGACCCATGAAGATCCGGGTTATAATTATCTTCAGTAACTTATACTTGTCGTAGATGCGACTAATGGGATTGGGCGGTCAGGCTCGCTGGCTTGGTTGACACATGTCATTGATCCCATTGCGCAGATCGATGCTCATGCTGTTGGTCACTGGATTGTCTGGACCAGACTCCATTATTTACAGACCACCGCCATATAGCTGGGATATTGCTGAGTGCGGCATAAAACTTAACTCACTCACTCACTCACCCCTTCTCACTGGGACATCTTTTCAATTGAAAGGAATTTTTCGTTTCTGTCACAAATCTATACATACAGAGACAAAGTGACGAGATATAAAACTAAGCATCCCTGGCAGCAAATTTGGGAAAAATTGTTATAATGCTTCTTAACATTGCATTCTGAGGTGAGGTGAAATTGGGTTTAACGTCGTGCTTGAAAATATTTCGCTCATATGACGACGTTCATGCGTGTATATGCGTATGTGTGTCTGCTTGTACTAGCCCAGACTTAAGCTGGTTTTATAGTGCTAGCCCACTGAGATACCATGCCGCAGTGAAGCATGAATACCCCACTCAGACACATTATACTGACTCCGAGCTGACCAGTCCTTGTTGTACCCATTAATGACGAGCGCCAGGCAGGGACCAACAAGTACCATATTTTAATGTCTTTTGGTATGACGCGGTTGGGGATCGAACCCGCGACCTTCCGCTCTCCGAGCGGATGCTCTAACCACTACTCCACAGAGGCGGTCCATTGCATTCTGAGGTTATCAACATGATAACATAAAACAAAGCATCAACCCTCATAATTGGTCATATTACTATACAACCCATCACCCACTAATGTTATGTATATACATGTGGTTACATCGAAGACTGATTTCTCCACTAACTTAGGGGAACCATCTGCAAACCGTATGCAGATAAACTGCATGAAGATCATGCATCAAAATGCTGAAAAGCATGTGCACATCATGTGCATGTAAACAGCTGTGTGTTGGTGTAAAGTTTTGTTAAGAAATTGCCAATTTTCACTGTAATAATTAATTGGTGAGTGTCATTTATCAAATTTTCCTGGTTATGTTTGTTAATGCGCAAAAAATATAGAAAAAAATGTAGTTTTTTCTGTTTGTTTTTGAAAATTGCACAAAATGCATGTACAAATTTCACATCTTAAGGTGGACTAGTATGTTAGGAATATAAATTTCTTGGAATCTTTAAGATAAATTCAATCATGACAAGGAACGAGCTTGTAGTGCTTATGAAATGTAACAGACAAAACCAAACTTGTGAAAAATGTTGCTGATGCAAACTAGTGTTCCAAAAGTGTTTGGGTTCGATATTGAGAAAACATGATCGATTGCTTGGTCATTTAGTCATTGCGACCAATCTTCGATTATTTCAATTAATCGGACCACCACTAGTGCCTATTATACTGAGATGAGTCGAGTGTTTATTACAATGAGACGAGTTGAGTGCCAATTAGATTGAGACGAGTCGAACGCTACTGGACTGGCTACTAGACAGACATGACTTGACAGCCATTTGGATGATGAGCCAAGTTGCTATTCGACAGAAAGTGAGTATTCTGAGCAACACTCACGTCAAGACTGTGGTTGTCCTTCCACATGATGAAGCCTACAACGATGTTGATGTTCTGGTAATCACCTGCAGATTCATTTCCACCTGGCGTAACCTGTAAATCAAAACAACAACAAAGCTGTAACATGTATGGCTGGCCATCTTGTATCTTGGAAACCATCTTGTATCACGGTAACTATCTTGAATCATGGCAACCATCTTGTATCATGGCAACCATCTTGTATCATGGCAGCCATCTTGTATCACTGCCACCATCTTGTATATGGCAGACATCTTGTATCATGGCAGACATCTTGTAACATGTCAACCTTCTTATATCACTGTACCTGTCTGGTATCACTGCCACCATCTTGTATCATGCAGACATCTTGTATTATGTCAACCATCCTGTATCACTGCCACCATCTTGTATCATGGCAGACATCTTGTATCATGTCAACCATCTTGTATCACTGTACCTGTCTGGTATCACTGCCACCACTTTGTATTATGGCAGACATCTTGAATTACTGTACCTGTCTGGTATCACTGCCACCACTTTGTATTATGGCAGACATCTTGTATCAATGAACCTGTCTGGTATCACTGCCACCGTCTTGTATCATGTCAACCATCTTATATCACTGTACCTGTCTGGTATCACTGCCACCATCTTGTATCATGTCAACCATCTTATATCACTGTACCTGTCTGGTATCACTGCCACCATCTTGTATCATGTCAACCATCTTAGATCACTGTACCTGTCTGGTATCACTGCCACCATCTTGTATCACTGCCACCATCTTGTATCATGTCAACCATCTTATATCACTGTACCTGTCTGGTATCACTGCCACCATCTTGTATCATGGCAGACATCTTGTATCAATGTACTTATCTGGTATCACTGCCACCATCTTGTATCACTGTAACTATCTTGTATCATGGCAACCATATTGTATCATGGCAACCATCTTGTATCGTGTCAGCTATCTTGTATCATGGCAACCATATTGTATCATGGCAACCATCTTGTATCATGGCAAGCATCTCGTATCGTGTCAACTATCTGGTATCACTGCCACCATCTTGTATCATGGCAGACATCTTGTATCATGTCAACGATCACTGCCACCATATTATATCACTGTACCTGTCTGGTATCACTGCCACCATCTTGTATCATGTCAACCATCTTATATCACTGTACCTATCTGGTGTCACTGCCACCATCTTGTATCATGGCAAACATCTTATATCACTGTACCTATCTGGTATCACTGCCACCATCTTGTATCATGCCAACCATCTTATATCACTGTACCTGTCTAGTATTACTGCCACCATCTTGTATCATGGCAGGCATCTTGTATCATGTCAACTATCTGGTATCACTGTAACTATCTTGTATCATGGCAAGCATCTTGTATCATGGCAGACATCTGGTATCGTGGCAAATATCGTGTATCGTGGCAACCATTTGCATCTTGTATCATGGGACTCGTGAAGATATGGGTTAGAATTGATCTTCAGTAACCCATGCTTGTTGTCAGAGGCGACTAACGGGATTGGGTGGTCAGGCTCGCTGACTTGGTTGACACATGTCATCGTATCCCAGTTGTGTAGATTGATGCTCAGGTTGTTGATCACTGGATTGTCTGGTCACTTATTTACAGACCGCCACCATATAGCTGGAATATAGCTGAATGTAGCGTAAAACTAAACTCACTCACTTGTATCATGGCAAACATCTTGTATCACAGCAAACATCTTGCAAAAGAAGTTACAAGCCTTTGCTATTTTTATTTTATGCACCTAGTAAAGTCTTCAAGCAATATCAAAATGAACCAAGTCTATTTTAAAAAACACCTGCTCACCAGCTGTGTATCACTTCTGTTTGACACGCTCAATATACCAGCGGCCTGGTGGTTCTGAGCTAAGGTTGCCTTCTCCACAAACTTGCAAGGTCCTCGAGCCATTGTCACGACCTTGCCCTTCACATCAATTGTCCAATCAGAATCGTTGCACCCATATGATCTAAGATGTACAAGTTGATATTTTTCCTGAAACAGAGTAAGAATTCAAGACTTATTCCACAGTAATAACAGTTGTGTGCAGATAAACTTACTGTGACGGTTGATATCTCTAGATTTCATCCAAGCATAAGTGGGAGAAATACAGCTGGATTATCCTCCAACTATGTGCTATGTATGTGTTATTGCAGCTACCAAATGCAATATTATACCTACATGAGTGAGTGAGTTGGCTTTTACATCACTTTTATCAATATTCCAGCAATATCATGGCAGGGAACACCAGAAATGAGCTTCACACATTGTACCCATGAGGGGAATCAAACCCAGGCTTCTGGCACGACGAGAAAATGCTTTAACCACTAGGCTACCCAACTGCCCAAATGCAATTGGGATGCAATGACTTGCATCCACCCAGTGTTTGCAACACTTTAATTTGCCAGTTGGCCATCAGGGCCTGCTGCTGTCTGCAGGCTTTAAAATCACACAGTTTCTACAAAATCACACAGTTTCTACAAAATCACAAAGTTTCTACAAAATCAATTAGCGAAGCCTATGGCGCAGAGAGATGTTTTTATTTGTTAAAGCTGTGAAGTACAAGGAAGTGAAATTGTAAGTTATCGTAACATGATGGATCATGGATGATTCATGAACGTTAATAACTAACAAAATTATGGGAAAAATTGAAGTTGAAAAAATAACCACAGATAATTTACTGAAGGCCACAAGGGTCTGCAAATATTTAAAACTATCGTCCCAATACAATAACAACCGGCGCTGGACCTCTGGGCCAGCGATTATTTCGAATGCTGCATCCACCTAGTCAGTGTGTGTGACCATGTGATGACAAGGGAAGATACACCCGTGAAGATCTGGGTTAGAATTGGTCTTCACTAACCCATGCTTGTTGAAATAAGTGACTAACAGGATTGGGTGGTCTGGCTCACTGACTTGGTTGACACATGTCATCATACCCCAGCTGCTTAGATTGATGCTCATATATGTCGATCACTGGATTGTATGGTCAAGACTCGATTATTTACTTACCTGCGCCATATAGCAGGAATATTGCTGAGTGCGGCTTTAAACAACAAACCCACCAACCAAATCAGTGCATATCAGGGTGCCGTTGAGCAAAACAACCTTAGCTATCAGATATGGAACGTCACCTTAGCCTTTGTACAACGGTACCAAGATATGGAAGTGCCATAACAGCTAAACAAACAAACAAACAAATCATGTGACCTGATTGGCAGCAATCATGAAGAGATTACTACTTTTGAACACTGATACCATGAAACAAATATATACTTGTGGTCACAGCAGATATATTTTAGATGATTCATCAGTTCATCACTAAAAACTCATTCATATTAAGTAAAATTTTTCTGAAAACATTGTAAAATACACCAAATTTCTGTGATTTACACCAATACAGTTGAACCCTGTTTATCCGGACATTTTGGTTACACTCGGAAATCGTCCGGATGGTGAGGCATCCGGTTAACTGGATCAAACAAGCAAAACTTATTGGCGATGTATATTGAAAATTTATTCAGGTACAGTACAATTACAATGTAGTTAATCCTAATCCTTATTAGCATGTGTTTTCGTTACTGATGAGATGTTCTTACACCTGCCAAAGCTCAAGTGACAGAGCTCCAGATAACATTTAGCTCATGTGGGTACTGTACCCACTGTATTTTTTGGAGTGGGTATTATGAATGTTGAGTGGGTATTATATTTTCCGTTACCCACTGCTTTCAAATATGTGCGTATTTCAGTCATTTTACTCACCTAAGTATTATGTCATTGAGTAAGTTTACTAAGCAGGTATGTCCTGCCTTATGTCATACCTAATCAAAACCAACTTAAATATAATGGAAATGATTTCATAAAAAAATCACTCATCCTATACTGACAGTACAACTTGATAGCAATCGATGTCTTTTTCATTACGCAAGCGATTTTTATAAATATATTTCATACGCATTTAGTTTTAAACTTTTTGCGTATCTAACATTGTAAATGCATAATTGGTACGCAACAATTATTTTCAATGTGTAATTGGAAATTTTCTAAGCGTATTTTTCCCGGATATGCAGCTTACCTGGGTATCTGAACTGAAGTGACACGTGTCCCCAGTGTTTTGATGGGCAATTAATAAATTCACATCAAATGCCTGCCGAGAAATTAACAATGAATACACTTACTCGTGTGGTAAGCATACACATACACATGCATATGTGCACAGATCTTTGCATCCGGATAACAGGGTCATTTTTCAATGGAATCTATGGAAATGGTTTGAAAATTCTCCGTCCGGGTCTGGAAGCTCGGGGTCCGGCTAAGCAAGTACAATTACTGAAGGTAAGTTTCGGTCCACCTAAAAAATTTCCAGAAGGTGGGGTTTCCGGATATACGGGGTCCGAGTAAACGGGGTTCGACTGTACCATTGCATCATGCTTTCCTTCCATTTGTACAATTTTCGTCAGATTCATACTATGGGATTAGACTCAATAAATTCTTCTTTAAACCATTAGTCTTTTACTTCAAAAACATCAAAGATGCTGCCGAGGTTGAAATTGCCGAGGTCCGACATGTTTGTTTACAAACAAAAGGGTCAACGAGTTCATTGTATTCATACATGGTCAATCAGTCACTTTAATTAGCGGGGTTTTGATGAGCTGTCAGCCAGTGAGAATCAAGCATCACACAATATCGTGTTAGTAAAAAAGTTGCTGATGTGGCATTATCCTTTAGCATGCTGAATTAATTTCAGCATAAGGCACTGTAAACGGGGTGATTGATTTCAAACAATTGGGGCATCGTTAAATAAGGAACAAGTGACTCAGTTCGTGCATGCCATTTATAATTCAAAGGACACGTAAATTTGACTTGGTGAATAGTTATTAATACTGGTTCTATCTGAGGATGTCATAATGCTGCTTTCCTGTTGAATGGGTTCGACAGCAGCATTGAGATAATCAATTGACTGAGTTTAGTTTTACGCTGCACTCAGCAATATTCCTGCGATATGGCAGCGGTCTGTAAATAATCGAGTCTGAACCAGACAATCCAGTGATCAACAGCATGAGCATAGGTCGGCGCAACTGGGAACCGATGACATGTGTTAACCACCCGATCCCGAGAGTGGCCTCTTACGACAAGCATGGGCTACTGAAGATCAATATTCTAACCCGGACCTTCAGAGGTTGAGAGGATCAAACAATACCCACTCACTCACTCAAACAGTATCTTACAGAGGACACCTGCAGGACCTTGGTCCACTCACTTATCACATCAAGACTGGACTATGGCAACTGCTCTACTGTGTGGACTACCACAGTCTCTCACAGACCGCCTACAGAGAGTACAAAACAGTGCAGCGACTCATTTCTCACACACGGAAATGCCACCATATCATGCCGATCATGAAGATCTTGCATTGGCTGCCATTTCACCTCCGGTGTCAGTGCAAGATCTTGATGTGCGTGTAAAAGGCATTGCATAACACTGCTCCAACACATATCATGGAGCTTGTCATTCCTTATGAGCCAGTGTAATCTCTCTGTTAGGGGTGAAACGGTATACCGTGGTATTAGTAGAACCTTGATATTTTGGTCTCCGCAATGCAATAAAAACCCAGTATTTTCGGTTTTCATACCGTCATTTTATTAACTTTCTTAAACCTTTTCTAAAATGTCTAGAAATCGAATCATTTTACAAAATCTATGTATTTCTTTTCTTATCTGTATTATGATCACATCTCATATACCGAACTGAAACGGACCAAAATGAAGGCCTTGTACTGCAATACGTACTGCACCGTGGTAAGAACGTACCGTTTCACCTCCATAATCTGGATCTCTGATCACTGTGCCCAAAACACGAACTGCAATGTATGGAGACAGATGCCTCAACAAGACCGCAGCAACACTGTCGAACGATCACCATCTACCCTGAGTAACTCAACATCTTATGACATTTTTAAGAAGGGCATAAAAGACCTATCTCTTTAAATCAGCCTACACTCAGTAGCATTTGTGACTCTTTCTGGTAAAGGGGGCGATGGGGTAGCCCAGTGGTTAAGGCCTTCGCTCGTCATGCGAGGACCCGGTGTAACAGGCCAGAGTATACCCCTGACCCAGACTATACCCGGGGTTAAACTGGGTTAGCCAAGACTATACCCCAGGTATAATCTGGGCTATCCTAGTTTATACCCCGAGGTATATTCTGAACTAGGCCATAGTATACCCCCCTAGCCCAGATTATACCTCTACAGAAAACAAGTGATCATTTTGCTGAAGGTTTTATCTCTGCCAAAGTGTCCACCTGTAGCTGGGTTGTCATGGCATGCTTTCAGGATGCTGGGTAGGCGGCTTTTGGTGAGCACTTCCCTTTCACCACGAAAGACAATTCCGTTTGCTACCCGAAATGGCTTGCAGTTTGCCGAAAATGTGACTTCGCATTCAAACGCGTGTCAGGATCCAGGTCATAGATGTGCTGAGGATACTTCTTATCAGAGTTGGTGTAGAAGTTCAAGATCTGGGTATAGAAGTTGTCATCCATGTTGAAGGTTGAATGCGATATAAGATGCAAAATGAAATGCACTTTTAGTAGATACCTTTACATGACACCGAGATCAGTCTCCAGAGTCACTTGTTCATATTAATAAATAAATACCAGCCCCTACTCACACCATCACCAGCCCCTACTCACACCATCACCAGCCCCTACTCACACCAGCCCCTTCTCACACCGGTTATCTCCCATTAGTTAGACAGCCAGTTGTTAGACAGTGGAGTAGGGTATTAATTAAGATAACACTCACCTCCATAATGGTACAGCTCTAATTAGATTGATGAGTAGAGTGTGCCTGTAGTTAATCTGTTCATGTTGTACTACCCTGTTGCCGAAATACCTTAGTTGTGTGTGCGACGCTAAATAAAGCAAATAACTAACTACTAACCTTGATATATCAGCATGGCTGGGTTACGCAAAGTCGAAAATATCATATTGCAGAGAGGCACTCAACAAATACTTAATAAATTTTGTATTATGCAGTAATGTAAATGAAATGCACCTACAAATTCCTTTAAATGACACCAAGACCATTGCCCTGAGTCACACACTCATATTGAGTGAATTGTCAACATAATGTTTTAGGGGTATAGTCTGGGCTGGAGGGGTATACTTTGGCCTGGTCCAGAATATACCCCCGGGGTATAAACTGGGCTAGCCTATAGTTTATCCCGGGGTATAATCTGGTGGGGGGTTATCCTGGGCTGCTACACCTGTAAATGTTTTAGGGGTATAGTCTGGGCTGGAGGGGTATACTTTGGCCTGGTCCAGAATATACCCCCAGGGTATAAACTGGGCTAGCCTATAGTTTACCCCGGGGTATAATCTGGTGGGGGGTTATCCTGGGCTGCTACACCGGGTTTGATTTCCCACATGGGCACAATATGTGAAGCCCATTTCTGGTGTCCTCTGGTGATATTGCTGGAAAATTGCTAAAAGCGGCGTAAAACTAAACTCACTCAATCACTTTCTGTAAAGGGTCTTAGAGTGTTTTGGTTCCTAAATCATAAAGGGTGCTATACAAATTTTGTATATTATTATTACTCTCACTATACTCACAGTGTCATTGATTGCTGAAGGTATTGTCTTGAAGTCTTTATTGTAGGCAAAGCAAAAATTTGATGATGCTCCACTTGTTGCCTGAACTTTTAAAACACCATACTCCCCAAGCACCTGCAACACGAAAACAAGGAAATGGTATTCTGGGTATGCTCTTTTGTTTGGTGTGTTTGGTGTTGAACGCGACACTCAGCTATTCCAGCCATATGGCTACAGTCTCTAAGTAGTCAAGACTGGATTTGTTTGAAATACACAATGCCATTTTAGAAAGTGGTCCAATGTAACACATGTTATATTTGGGATTACACTTTCTTAGTAAAGTACAGATTCTAGTACTTTTTGGGATTGAGTCCCATCCGGGATTCGAACCCACACCCTCAGAGTCAGGCACCTAATCGCCAGCACACAAAGTCAGACGCCTAGACCGCTCAGCCACCGCGGCTTCCACAAAAATGGAAGTTGGACAACTGGTAGTCTAGACTGCAGACCTTGTGTACCCCCGGATGGGACTCAACCCATAAAAGTACTAGAATCTGTACCTTACTAAGAAAGTGTAATCCCAAATATAACATATGTTACTGGATTTGTTTGTTTGTTGTTTACACTTGTGTGGTCCTGTGGGTAGAGCTCAGGTCACAAATCAGTTGAAGTTAAGCAACGTCGAGCTCGGAGAGTCCTTGGATGGGTGACCATGTTTGGCAGCTTGACTCCTGAGAGTTTCTAGGACTTCAGTCATGCCCCACAACAAAGCACATGTGATACATATGGTCTCACCTTAAGCAAGTGAGTTTGTTCAAAATTGCCTCTGTTCACCCAGCAGAAAATGGGTACCCGGTTGGATAAAGTCGTGTGAGTATAACTTTCTAGCTGCCTGACGGGAAGCTTGGGTTATCCGGGGTAATAATAATCAGATTCTGATTACGTCATCCAGTGAGCAACTAGTCAGATGGATACAAGCACTATATAAATGAATTATCAAATCATTCCAACAATACAGTGGCTGTCTGTAAATAACCGAGACTGGACCAGACAATCCAGTGATTAACATAATAAGCATTGATCTACACAACTGGGATTACCAATGAAGACAGTGAGCCTGACCATCTGATCCCGTGAGTCACCTCTTATGACAAGCAGACCAATTCTGCTGAAGACAAATTTTAACCCGAATCTTCTCAGGTAATGTTTTTCAGGGTATGCAATTCCTTACATCTGACTTCCATGTCAGAATGTTGAGATTGAGATACCAACAGCACGGAAAAAGAGCCCAAATTATATGGGATACCGCAGTAATTGCATGGATTGCTGGGTCGGGTGTGTGTGTGTGTGTGTGTGTGTGTGTGTGTGTGTTACAAGGGCTAAGGGTTGATTTGGGTACGTACACCTGCCTCACTAACCGTAAAAACCAAGACGCACGTGTAATAAGTGAATTACTGTGCCCTATAAAGTCTAATCCTCCTCTGTGACATTTATCATCAGTCAGGCCTCTTCTAGGTTGTAATCAACCACTTAGTATAAGGCAATACGTAATCCAAGACAAACAAAAAGTCAGTGAACGAAAACCGAACATTCCTGAGAAACAATATCAGTATGCCGTGTCATGGACATTAACAATGAGCGGTACTTATAAACGTTGTATTAAAGAAGCCCAGCTGTACGTCACAACGTGAACATCATTGCCTCTTACCTGGGACACGCCAACTATGATGACAAATAATTTAATCAACATTGTTGTGACAAATACTCTTCCTCATCAAAATATTGTAACCTCCATCTTTGAGTTCCAAAGGGGAGACAACTGAGAAAGGGGAGTGTCCGCAGAAGAAACGTAATGATAACTTTTAGAACCCCTTTCTAGCATGTTGTTATGGATCAGTTCAATCGTGTCATAATTTTGGATAGCCTTGGTACTACATCAGCACCAAAGTTATTAATGTTGAAAAATTCATTCACGTGATAACATTGATTAATCACGTGAATATTGAAGAAATGGATAAGAGTATGTATTGACACCAATATTATAAGATATTATAACTGACTCAAAAGTGATTCTAAGAGTGAGTATGGTTTAACGCCGCTTTTAGCAATATTCCGGCCATATAAAGGTGGGGGACACCAGAAATGAGCTTCACACATTGTACCCATGTGTGGAATCGAACCCGGATTTTGGCATGACGAGCGAACGCTTTAACCACTAGGCTACCTGACTGCCCCACGCATGGGTCAGTGCTAGACAATTTATAAACATAATCAGTGCGAAATGAATATAGAACCCACAAATCGGAAGATCCGGGCACACCCAAGGGACGCGACTCTGTTCAGCGAATTGCACCAGAATTAAGAAAGACGATCTCGTATTGCAAAACGTGAATTCTGTCTCTAGATATTATTCATATTATCGTGTATTCTGGTACGGATGTTTACTTTTTGATTGTTTGTTTGTGGTAAAAAGGAACCCTTATTTGTGTGTGTTGTATCAGAGAGTCCGATTGTCCGCAAACGTTTTTCTAAGATGCTCCGCCAAAATATCAAGGCGTCCGAGTGTTTTAACGTTAGATAATAGTTCAGGGCAAAAATTTCCTCTATTTATTACACTATGCATAGGGGTAGAGAACTGTATTTATTACCTACGAGGGCGAACATATCGGGGTTCATATTTTCATACGATGCCCTAGGGCAAAATATCACTTTGTCATGGTGATGTGACGTCATGAACAATGCTATGACGTCACGTTTATTTCTGTGACGTTTCGTTCTACATGCGGCGATGGCGGGTAGCCAGCCTATGTTTGAAAGTAGATTTCGGTTTATTCTCCTCAATTTGACGACTTCGGTAATAAACAGAATATTATATTCGTGCCCATGCCATACTATGTTTACGACACTCGTGCCTAAATATCGGTATATCCCTCGCTCTCGCTCGGGAAATACCAAAATTTAGGCACTCGTGTCGTAAACATAGTATGACATGGGCACGAATATAATATCCTCTATGTATTAGTTATTGGTTTATCCCTTTGAGATGCTGTAAAGAAATATGATCATCCCCGTTTAGGAACACCACAATAATGCGGAATGACAATATTCAGCTATGACGTCATTTCTAGTGTGACGTCATTTCGACATTACGTACTTTGAATCGTCAACAATGTTGTCCATATTGATGACGCGGGCAGTACTCTTGTGCAAATTAACTTTGCACTAGTGATCATGCGATTTTGTTATGATCTACGTTATTCTGAACCTACGATTAAATATCCTTTAGGTGTTAAGTATATTGTTATTCAGCCATGTTTAGCGTAAAACAACCAAATAATCCTCACGTGAACTTAAGTTCAGTCTATTGTTTATCGTTTAAGATGAACGCCGAGGTAATTAAAAAAAGTAAAAAATAATGTAAATTAAAACTATGCTGTACTGTTATCGCCCTAATAAGTGTATATTATATGATCTGACCACATAGCTGAGGTGAATAGTTGCAATGAACAAATTGCAGCAAAGAATCGAAAGCAGAAGCAGATGTCCCAACGTTTCCCATTAGAAAACTGACGATTTGCGTATAGATTTTTCACATTTTAGGTTCAACTTGAGAGCTTGCATTGTATTCAAGTGATGTTTTGTATTGATTATGTTAAAAATACTGTGATTACTGACTAAACACTCCTCGCAACATTCAACGTAATCGATTCTTTGTACATAATGTCTTCATATGTCGATATGTATATGTACACAAAACGTCTTTCATTTTATTTTCATTACAAGAATCAAATACCTAGGTTATCAAGCGAAATAAACGTAGTTTTACAACAGATGCCCATGTCATTCAGAAACTGCTGAGATATTTGTACGGGGAATACTTTTATGGAAGCTCCAAACATTGATTTCGTTCCTTCGCTGTATCAAAAGGCGTGCAGCGTAAGTAGCACGCGCTGGCAACGAGCTTTCGCACACCTGCATTTCCGGTTACAAGAACCAAGGTTTGGTGGTTTCTCCGACGCCGTTTTCAGAGCAAGCACTTGTCCATTGTTGCTTTGCCGGGGTTTTAGACACTTGATTCACACAATAATTGATTGTGCATGGTATAAATATGAGTTACCAGCTGTACAGAAATACAACACTTGGGCACACGCTCCAGGAGAGTCTTGACGAGTTGATTCAGGTAAAATTGTTCAAGATGGTCTGATTCGTTTACACGACTGAACCATTTTTAAAATTGTGACCAGTAATTTACGATTGATTTAAACATGGATATTAATCGTGTTTCATCTATATTAGGCCTCACCACTTTAGCTAGTGGAAATAGTGTTAAATAACAGTTAGGCAAGCAAGCAGTGATTGATCTAGGGGATAGAGTTCCTTTTCCCCAAACCCTAAACCTAACGCTAACCCTAACTTATATTTTGGACTTTTAGTCATTTTTGTGAGTTCTCTAGTAATTGTTGTGTTAAGTTTTGTTAATAATTTTAGTATATATTAATTTATAGATATTATTTGGGATGGGGGAATGGGAGGAACTCTTACCCAATGAATGGTCCCGATGATGCCACCACTTTACTAACATAATGCATTATGAAACAGAAATGTATCCGAAACAAGTTCAAAATACAGAAGCGTACGGTAATTGACGGACGAGTCCATATTCTGCATCTCAAAACTGAAGCTGTATGTGTAGTTGTTCCCGTGAACTGATTGTGAGTGTAACTGTGTATGCTCATTTCTTATATGAAGCAATCAAGTGCATCTAACACAACAGTGTGACAGTTCTGATCAAGAAAATGGCACAATGCAAAGGGTACGTTTGTGTGTTCTGAGTTTGGTTAGGGTACGTTTCTGTTAGGGATGCCACGATACATCGCTGCATCGGTACTTTTTCTAAGACGATACAATTATCGATACATTCAAAACTGTATTGATATTTAGTTTTGAAAGTATGGGTTTAAATATGTTTATGTATCATTTACATTTTGCAATTGTATCATATTTTTTGATGTTTTGAGAGTTATAAATGATTATTTTTCATGCACAAAGATGGGAAATTGGAACTTTTAATCTCTGAGAATAAAGAATGTTGTTCTTTTCACGGACAATTATAAAATATGAAATATTAATGTTCAAAATGTAACTAAATTTACGCCAAAATGCTGCAAAAATAGGTATCGTGATATGTATCGAACACATGGGTATCGTGATACATATTGAATCATGAAACTTGTGTATCATGACATCCCCAGTTTCTGTATCCTGAAACGTAACTGCGGATACACATCTGTTTTACCTGTGCTGACAATGACCCCTTCAGCCCAAGATTTTCACCCTTTGAGTCTCCCTTAAAAACCTGTCTTTCACTGTGATAGGCTTGGTGTATGTAGTGTGTAATAGAAATCTTTGAATGATGATCTTTGAATGTACCAAATTTGCTCATGATTTTAACATATAAGTGTCATGTCTGCAAGTATGTAAGCAAGTTCCTATTTTTGTGACATTCTGATGATTATCATTTTGAGATTTCTTCCAACATTTGGCTGATACAACTGGAATACTGCTCAAAGCAACATTGATGATGATGATGATGATGATGATGATATTCTTGCAGTGTGGTCAGATATCGCCAGGCCTAGCTCTCAAGGTCTTGCTACAGTTTGACAAAGCCATCAACAATGCTCTTGCTAACAGAGTCAAGTCAAAGATATCTTTCTCAGTAAGTAGTCCCTATGATACTAGGCTATGGTGGGGTAGCCGAGTGGTTACAGTGTTATCTCGTCACGCCAAAGACCCGGGTTCGCCTCCCCACATGGGTACAATGAGTGAAGCCCATTTCTGGTGTACCAGCCGTGATATTGCTGGAATATTGCTAATACTGGCGTAAAATCATACTCTCTCACTCACTGGAATGATACCCACAATATTGATCACTGGATTGTGTGGTCTTTACTTGATTCATTTTAAAGACTGGCGTAGTGCTGACTGCAGCATTAACAATGATGTTTATTGTGTATTTATGTGTTTCATATTGTGTCATTGCTTTTGAGATATGTACTGAATGAGCAACAAAGCTCATAGTTACTACAGGGTTTTCATCACCCACAAGACCCGTGAAGATCCAGGGTAGAATAGGTCTTCAGCAACCCATGTGCTTGCCATAAAAGGCGACTATGTTTGTCGTAAGAGGCGACTAACAGGATCGGATGGTCAGTTTCGCTGACTTGGTTGACACATGTCATCGGTTCCCAATTGTGCAGATCCATGCTCATGCTGTTGATCACTGGATTGTCTGGTCCAGACTTGATTGACCGCAGCCATATAGCTGGGATATTGCTGAGTGCGGCGTAAAACTAAACTCACTCACTCACTCACTCATCACCCACAATGTTATCTCCTTCATATTATCCTTTATGGATACAGACTGAAAATGGAAAAAAATGCATTGCGAGTCCAGTGGGATGCAAATGAAATTTATCCAAATTGTATGTTGTAAGTTACCATGGTTACATAACAGTTATGTTCTGGTATGAGTGAGTTTACTTTTATGCCACTTTTAGCAATATTCCAGCCATATTGTGGTAGGGGAACACCAGATATGGGTTTCACACATTGTATCCATGTGGGGAATTGAACCTTGGTGTTTGGCAACATAGTAGTTGAGTGTTTGTACTTTGTGCCGAAACCCAGGTTTGATTCCCTACATGGGTACAATGTGTCAAGCCCATTTCTGGTGTCCATTGCTGGATGTGATATTGCTGGAATATTGCTAAAGTGAGTAAAACCATACTCACTCACTCATTCACTCGCATGTGAAAAAGTACCATAATGGCTTTATTTTCTTTTTCATTTTGCAAATCAAGTTTGAGTGAAAAAAAAGTGGCATGAAATCTCTCACTCGCTCTCCATAATTATGTTTATTATTACAGCCCTTGTGTCGATGATGATGATGATGAGTTTGGAGATTTAATGTGCGCTTTCCGACATATTACGTATTTCGAACACAGTGTCCTTGTGTCAGCCTGTTAACTATTTTCTTTTTCATTCGCCAAAATCAAGTGAAAAAAGTGGTAAGAAATCACTCCCTCACTCATCATAATTATGTTTATTATTACAGCACTAGTGTTGATGATGATGATGATGATGATGATGATGATGATGATGATGATGATGTTTTTGTGCTGCTTCCAGGGTTCCCTGAACACTTACCGCTTCTGTGACAATGTGTGGACGTTTGTACTGAACAACGTCAAGTTCCGCGAAGGTCCAGTGCAGGATATTGCCAAAGTGGATAAAGTGAAGATTGTAGCCTGTGACGGGAAAGGTAGCCATTAGACTTGTTTAACATCATATTAGACCCATATACAGGTCTGTTGCTGATTTGAATACACCATGCCATTTTGAAAGTGGTCAAATGTAATATATGTTAAAGTCATTCCTTGTAATGCGGCCCTTTGCAATACCATGGTTTCCATTAAACCACTTGTTAATCTTGTTTGAGTGGCATTTTTAGAAGTTTAGACGTACAATATTTTATTATATGAATGATAAAGAAGTTCATAGAGTTTACAAATACTGACACATGGTTTCAGGCTGCCTGCACAACTGTTGAAATTAGCATGACCTTAAGCAGCATACAAAATTAAAGTCTGTCCTTAGGCCTGAAGCCGACTGAAACCCACCCGGACCCACAGCTTTTGTGTTCTGCAATAGCACATCAACAAATCCGCTGTTGTGCTGAGGTTTAAACTATAGTCTGTTGCAGTGAAATGTACCGATGAATGTCACTTTAAACCCAAAAGTAAAACAAATAAAGTGAAATTAAGACCGCGAATCCGAATAATTTCACCTTGCCAATTGAACATTTAAATCTCAGAATTTTATTCGACTTAAGATAAAAGTTGTTTAACAAACGATCATAGTTTCACATGGCTATTATTGGTTTGTATTACAAGGGGGTATGCACATCAAATGAAACACCGAAAACCACAAGGGTTGTTATAAGTTAACGCTCTTCACGTACCGCACGTTTCATTTGTTTCACTGTTCCAACGATTGCGCTTACCCCCTTGTAATACAAACCAGTAATAGCGATTTGAATCTATGAACAACTTTTAACCTAATTTGAATTTAATTTTGAGATTTAAATGTTCGACTGGCAAGGTAAAATCATGAGTATTCGCAATCTTAATTTCACTTTATTTAATTTACATTTTTGTTTAAAGTGAAATTCATCGGTACGTTTTCACTGCAAACAGACTATAGCAAAATTCAGTGTGGATTGTAAGGAAACATGTTATTTGTTCATATCCTCGCACCATGGGATTTAAGAAACAGTCAATGTTTTCTTGATGAATCACACAAACGGTGGAACATGGTACTAACTTTAAAAATACAACTTTGTCGAAAGACATGTCATCAGCTGAGTATTTACAATGTTTGCATCAGGCAACACACCTTGTGATAGAGCGAGTAAACATTGCCCTCCGAAAACATGATGTTGGAAATAAAATGATGTTCCTAGATTTAATTTCATTGGATTAAATTTAGTCCCAATTTCATTCATTAATTGCTGTTTACGGTAACAAAAACGTGTAGAATGGAAACTTCCGTTTACCCTGTTCATGCTTACACCGTGATAGTTCATGCTTACACCGTGATAGTTCATGCTTACACCGTGATAGTTCATGCTTACACCGTGATAGTTCATGCTTACACCGTGATAGTTCATGCTTGCTTACACCGTGATAGTTCATGCTTACACCGTGATAGTTCATGCTTACACCGTGATAGTTCATGCTTACACCGTGATAGTTCATGCTTACACCGTGATAGTTCATGCTTACACCGTGATAGTTCATGCTTACACCGTGATAGTTCATGCTTACACCGTGATAGTTCATGCTTACACCGTGATAGTTCATGCTTACGTGATAGTTATGCTTACATAGTTCATTACACCGTGATAGTTCATGCTTACACCGTGATAGTTCATGCTTACACCGTGATAGTTCATGCTTACACGGGATAGTTCATGCTTACACGTGATAGTTCATGCTTACACCGTGATAGTTCATGCTTACACCGTGATAGTTCATGCTTACACCGTGATAGTTCATGCTTACACCGTGATAGTTCATGCTTACACCGTGATAGTTCATGCTTACACCGTGATAGTTCATGCTTACACCGTGATAGTTCATGCTTACACCGTGATAGTTCATGCTTACACCGTGATAGTTCATGCTTACACCGTGATAGTTCATGCTTACACCGTGATAGTTCATGCTTACACGGGATAGTTCATGCTTACTAGTTCGTGATAGTTCATGCTTACACCGTGATAGTTCATGCTTACACCGTGATAGTTCATGCTTACACCGTGATAGTTCATGCTTACACCGTGATAGTTCATGCTTACACCGTGATAGTTCATGCTTACACCGTGATAGTTCATGCTTACACCGTGATAGTTCATGCTTACACTGGGATAGCACCAATTTCACACTATTCTCAGCAATCATGATCTGATTACCGCCTTGTTATCCATTGACCCAAAGAGCAGACATAAACTTGGTCATACATTGTTAATAAGTGCGGGGCGGTGGGGTAGCCTAGTGGTTAAAGCGTTGGCTCGTCACGCCGAAGACCCAGGTTCGAATCCCCACATGGGTACAATGTGTGAAGCTCATTTCTGGTGTCCCCCGCCGTGATGTTGCTGGAATATTGCTAAAAGCGGGGTAAAACAAAACTCAGTCAGTCAGTCAGTTAATAAGTGCAGTAATCTCAAACATGTGAAGTCCCCTTTCAGCTCAACATGGTTCAGTCAGCGCTAAATGAACTGAAGATGTAGAATTTGATTGAATGTTTTCTGTGTTTCAGGACAGGATCAGCCACATTAATACTGAAGAAATCACGATGTGGAAAAAATTCTCATGGGTGAGTAGTTCTCTCTCCTGGAAGATTTCATTGTCTTTTACTGATAAGATGAACTGCGAAGATCTGGGTTAGAAGTGTTCCTCAGCAACCCATGCTTGTCAAGAGACGACTAACAGGATCTTGTTGTCAAACTTGCTGGCTTGGTTGATACATGTCCTTGTATGCTAATTATGCTGATCGACACTAGTGGTGGTCCGATTAATGGAAATGATCGAAGATTGGTCGCAGTGACTAAACGACCAAGCAATCGATCATGTTTTCTCATAATCGAACACAAACAATTCTGGAACACATATTGCATTAACAATATTATCACAAGGTTGGTTTTATCAGTTACATTTCATGAGCACTACAAGCTCGTTCCAAGTCATGATTGAATTTATCTTAAAGGCCTCAAGAAAGTTATGTTCCTAACATATTAGTCATCCTTTCAAGATGTAAAATTTGCCCCCCAAAAACCCCTAAGAACTACATGTTTTTTCTTTATGTTTTTGTGCATTAACAAAAATAACCAGGAAAAAAATCATAAATGATGCTAACCAATTATTTTCGATGATTGATCGGTTGTAATGAAGCAATCATCAATTATAAGATTTTAACCAATTCCCAACACTAATCGACACTGGATAACACTACAGTTGGTCTCTGGTGAACATCTGTGTTTGAGGTGTTCTTCAGTAACCCATGCTTGTCGTAAGAGATGACTAACGGGATCGGGTGGTCAGGCTGCTTACTTGGTTGACACATGTCATCGTATCCCAGTTGTGTGGATCGATGCGCCTGATGATGATCACTGGATTATCTGGTCCAGACTTCATTATTTACAGACCACCAGCATATAGCTGGAATATTGATGAGTGAGGTGTTGGACAACAATGTAATGTGGGTGCCCACATTAAACTGTAGCATTGTATCTCTCGGGCTCAGCTTAACAAAACCAGCACTTCTACAAACGCTCTGGTCATATAGCTAAAATATTGCTGAATATTGTTACACAATCTTTGGCGTCTTGGAAGTACTAAATATGTAGTATGAATATATTAATATGTTTTGTGATTAGTATGACAGGTATTACTCTCGACCTCAGAAGACTTGTCTATGAAGAACATATTTTAGATTTTGCACATTAAAAAAAGGTATGATTACAACTCTTGGCTCACCAAGTGGTTGGGACAAGTCCTTTGAAAAATATCTGTAAGTTAAATTCAGGGTTCGATTTAAGAGATGTTAACCCACTTGCACCAGGTGCAACCTAAGATAAAAACCTAGTTGCACCAGTCAAATTCCAGTTGCACTGTTTTTATTGCAATATGTAATATCAGAAATATGCTATTGAATTATTTAGATGTTTTATTCAGAAGTTTACCCACTCAAAATTTGACTTGCACCCTAGTGCAAGTTAGACTAATAACTAGGTTGCACTTTGTAATATCAGGTTGCACAAGTGCAAGCAACAAAGCACTAAACCGAGCCCTTAAATTTGTTGTGCGATCAAGCAGAAATCAGACTTTGTTGAAATATCCATAAAGCTATTTAGATAAACTGCGAGATCTTTCTATTGTGTAATAGGTACTAATATGCAGAATAAAATTGTGTAAACTTTGGGCTTTAGTACTAAACTGGGCACCTATAAAACTTATGTACAAATTGGTCTGGGTGCTTACTAGATTTTGGTCCCATAGAGTTGTGGTGAACTCCCCACATCCAAAAAAAATGAAGAAGAAAAATTGTACCAGACCACAGGGCTGATAACTCTTAAGATCTTCCAGCCCTGCTGAAATACTGGTCAAATCAACGTTCTTTTAAAGTATTCTTTAAATATTTTTAAATGAAACAGAAGAAAAGGTATGTTTCATGAGCTTTATTTAAATCCACGAACTGATGACCTTTGACCTATTGGACCTACTTAAAGTTCACAAATAAACACAGCATAGTGCCACTAAGAGTAAAGTCCAGAGTTTTGTGCCGTTTAATGTTTTCATGCTGGACACAAAGTTAACTGGTCCCGGTGTTCGGATGGAAGGCTTTTTCGAACACGGGTATCTTGTAAGTTTCATGTTATTAGTTCAAAATTATCTGTACCATTTAATTGATACTTCTAGTGTAACCAAAAAGGCCCTTGTCCAACCTTAACCTCTGTATGTTCATGTTTTCATTTTTCGTGATTACTATTGTCCAAGAAAAATATATTGTGGTAATTCTAGAAGTGGAGGTTTTCTTCACTTTAAGACCAAAATAAATCAGTGTCAAGAAAATAATATGACCATTTTCTGTGATTTTCAGTGTTTGTGGGGAAAAGCAGCTACAATCCATCCATACTGAGAAAACATGGACGTCTTGTCGGCCATCTTGTTTGTGACAGGAGGAATTTTTTCATTTGGTGCCTGGGCTACATGTTGTCCGTATGCATCTTGCCTGACAACCGTGTATCATTTGTACATTGTCATGCCGAAGGGATATGTTTAGAGATTGCTGTTTTGTTTCAACTGTCTCCGTGTCATGTTTGGGTAAATGTCTTTTTTTTTATCTTATGACATCATTTTTTCTTATGAATATTCTAATTATGTTGGTAGGTTCCTAAAAATGGAGACATCGGATTGGCATAGGTTTGCTCGAATTCACATCCAATTCCCATTCTATTTTTAGTAACTCGGGTCAATAATCGAACTTATGAGACACGACTGGGAGTCAATATGCCTTTCTGTTAAAAGACACATGACCGCTTTTAGGCCTATGAATGTGAAGGAAAGTTTTGCATTATGTGAAAATTGTCAAAGTATGCATTATTTACAGACTCGTAGGTCTCGGGGCTGTTTGCACACATGCATCAGGAATATGAGATGTCATGATGTCATGCATGATTGTCATAACATGACATTTTTGAGAAAGGTGAAGGAAGGTCCATCCTGTAAATTTGGAGATGTCTGTTAGACTGAAGGGAATTCATTGAAGCTTCTTGTGAGAACATCCTGTAGTGCAGCATTGCAGCAATTTTGATTATTTATAAAAATAAAATATCTATGATATTTATCACCAAATGCACGGTTTTCAAAAAAAGGAATTTGATATTATGACATGGATTTAAAAGTAAACATTTGACAAGACGCTCGTTTCCAATTCTGAACAGAGCTGAACATGGTGAAAGGTGATCTGGCAGTTGTTCATTCGTTATCTAGCATTGTCTTCTATAAACATTTTATTCCAGGAAACGCTATTGGCTTTGCATTTTATATTTTGTGGAAGTTACTTCCCTTTTATGAAAAAAGAATGTGCAATGATGTCACTGGCATGCTCAAAGGGTCCAATATATTCTGCTGCTGGTATAAAGCTGGTTATCGGTAACCATGGTGATGAAGATGAAGCAATCTAATCCTGTGAATGTTTGAGATGACACCTTATGCCTGGACAGTATAGTCAATGTGTGTACAGGTAGAACCGTTGACAAGTGCTAAATAATAAGCTTGTCTGACGTATTTATATAAATACAGTATGTAAGATAATTGTGTGTGTACATTTCATTATTAAATGATAATGTTTCTACGATCATTTTTCATTCAGAGAATAAATGTGTTTTGGTGTAAACAGTGTTTTATATGTAAAAATGATGGTGGCCCATTGATCTGAGGTGTCACAGTTGCTTCCCTTTGTTGTGCCAGGATTGTACCCACGGGTATGTTTTATGTGAACATGTCAACCGTGAATGACATATGGCCCTCCTTCAACTAAGGACTGACCAACTTGAGTATGGTTTTGCGCCGCTTTTAGCAATATTCCAGCAATATCACGGCAGGGGACACTAGAAATGGGCTTCACACATTGTACCCATGTAGGGAATCAAACCCGAGCTTTCAGTGTGATGATTGAACGAACACTTTAGCCAGTAGGCTACCCCACCGCACCCCTTCAACTAAAGACCTACTGAGTGAGTGAGTGAGTTTACTTTTATGCGTCACTCAGCAATATTCCAGCTCTATTGCAGTGGTCTGTAAATAATTGAGTCTGGACCAGACAATCCAGTGATCAACAGCATGAGCATCGATCTGCGCAACCAGGAACCGATGACATGTGTCAACCAAGTCAGCGAACCTGACCACCCAATCACATTAGTCGCCTCTTACGACAAGCATGGGTTACTGAAGATCAATATTCTAACCTGGACATTCACGGGTCAAGGTGACCTACTGAGAGTGAAACTCACCTGACCAGTGTGAAATGTGTTTTCACTGCAAGTGCGAGGTTCAGTTCTGAAGAATGGATAAAAGTTTCTCTTTTTGATGTTTCACGCAATATTCCAGCACTAAGATAGCGGCCAGGACCTGACAATCCAGTGATTAACATTACCAACACTGGAATACAGTGACATGCATCAACCAAGTCAGCATCCTGATCACCTGATCCTGGTTGTACCCTCCTATGGAAAGCATGTTGGGGAGGACCAGTTCTAACCTGGATCTCCAAAGTTGATGGATCACCCCAGTGGTTGTAAGGCTAGAATTGTTCCGGTTCCATCTCCTGCTTGGGTTGAGTGGGTGAGATGGTCATCACGATCAGCATCTTATGGGACTGCGTTTTGACCAATATTCCAGCAAACGCAATATGAGACATTTTGGATTCACTTGATGTACGCAGCTTGGGAATACAGTCCAGAGCCCAGTTTCACAAAGCGATCGTAGTGTTAAGGTGATCGTAACTCACATACTTTAACATAGACTTACGACAGTAGTCGGGATCCATAAAGCGATCTTAACTCTTAGAGTGAGTGAGTTTAGTTTTACACCACTTTTAGCAATATTCCAGCAATATCATGGCGGGGAACACCAGAAATGGCCTTCACACATTATACCCATGTGGGGAATCAACTCGGGTCTTCAGCGTGAACAGGAAATGCTTTAAGCACTAGCTTTACCCAACCGCCCCCGTAACTCTTAGAACATATTAAGGACTGGACAATTTGCTAACAGGAATATGGCCCAAATTTTCCGTATATATTTCAGCCTAATTATTTTATTATTATTAGTGGCTCTTAAGAGGCGAATATACTTGTTGCAAGGGTGACTTACAAGATTGGGAGGTCAGATGCAGAGGTTGGTTGCATGCAATCATATCCAAGCTGCGTATGATCCACATGATATCAATCACAAGACAGTTCGATTATTTACAGACTCCTGTCATATGGATCAGTAAAAAAACAAACATTGGGATTGGTTGGTTGTTGTTTAGAACGCACTCAGGAGTATTCCAGCTATATGGCGGGGGTCTGTAAACAATCGAGTCTTGACCACACAATCTAGTGGCAGGGTTCGAAATACCCCATATATTAGTGTGCCATGGCACGGTAAATACAGAAATGGCACGGCTAAAAAATGTTCTTGGTGCCCTTTTGACATGCCTAATTTTCTAAGAGACATAACTCACATTTAGTCATTTAATCCCCAAAACAATTATTTTTTTCCTAATTGAATAATACCATACATATTAAAATGCCCATAAACCCATTTCTTTATTTAACAATAAATTTCAAATGATCATCATCATTGTCATTTATTCTAAAAACATGTGGGCATACTTGATTTCTGAAAGGCACACCTAAAATATTTGTCTGGTGCCCTAAGGCACACTTAGAACAAAAAGTATTTCTATCCCTGAGTGGTCAGCAACATGAGCATTGGGATGTGTCAACCAAATCAGCGAGTCTGACCACTCGATCCTGTTAGTTGCCTTTTACGACAAGCATGGGTTGCAGAAGACCAATTCTAACCCGGATCTTCCTGGGTAAGATTGGAGGCTGGAAGAATAACACAAAAAACCATAACTAAACAAATGATAATTTATTAGCATGACAAAAGAGAGACGTACAGTACACCTTAGCAACTGGGATCCGATCTACAGGCCGTGACAGGCTACATCCACTTCGACCTCCCATTTTCACCACCCTGATACTCCCCAAATATTGTTACTAAACTTTAATGAATTTATTTTTACAGCTTTTATTTATTTTAACACAGATGTCAACAACATAGACAAGGAAATTGTGAGATACAAATATTTATGTTTACAATGACAATGTTATAACATATGTCGGGATGAACAGTGTCCAGTCATCAGTATCAGCCTTGATCGTGGAGAACCTGTCATTGCTTGCACAGGTTCTGGATGAAATGTGAAATGGTGACGTTAAACAAGTCTCTCTTTCTTCAATGAGATATTAACCCTGGGACTTGTGAAGCTCATTCATAGCCCCTGAAACAAACATGGACAAAAATTATTTCATATTACACAATATTGCAATTGTATTTCTCTGTTTAGTTTTAAGACTTAATATGTTAAACAACTACTGGTTTTTCAAGCCAAGTTATCCCCAAACTGATTCCTGCATTCATCAAACATGAGGTGGCTTAATGGTTAAAGCGTTATTATTATTAGTGGTTAAAGTGTTAGCTCATCACACCGAAAACACGGGTTCGATTCCCCACATGGATACAATGTGTGAAGCCCATTTCTGGTGTCCCCGCCGTGATATTGCTGGAATATTGCTAAAAGTGGCGTAAAACCATACTCACTCACTGGAATGATACCCACAATATTGATCACAGGATTGTGTAGTCTAAACTCATGCACTCACTCATCAAACTGATTGTCTCCATGCAGGGGTGGAAATAACTTTAAAATTGCTAGTGTACTCCGGTACAATGGCACATGTAAAATCACTTGCCCTGATCATTTTTCCACTATACTGGCCGTTTTCTTGTTGATTTTTAAAATAAACAACATTATTAACATCGGAAAGTCAACTGGACACCAACAGAAAAATACACTGGACTCAGGCAATGAGTTATTTCCACCCCTGCCATGGCTCTGTTCAAGAGGCAAATTTGTTTCCCCTCCAAAAATTTGGAAACTATGCTGTTTGAGCCTGTCATGCACACAAATGTAACAGTATCACATAGTCATTTTAATGTGTTTCCAAATTAAAACACAAAAATGGAATATTTTTTAAACCAGTTGAAAGGAAGCTAAAATGTGTCCATTTAATTTTAATTAATAAATTATTCAACAACCACAGAATTGAGCAATCAGTTCGAACCACCCAGATGCTGATGCTAGTCAAATAAGTCACTGATATTAGGTTTGTGCTTCGGCAAATTGATAACCACATGTTTTAAAGAAAGATATTGCGTAAGTTTTCAATTTAACACCGACGTTCTAACTTATAAGTGCTGCATTCTTGTGTGAAATTCCACAGAAAACTACTTAAAACAACGGGACACATCCTCGATAATCTCCAAGGTATACGTTACGATAACTCTCCACTATACCCTGGATGCATCCACGGCTTGGGGCGATGATTTTATTACCTCCCTTGGCTGGCTTTTTATCCAATCAGGTGCCTACGCTGGGAAGTTGAGCGAACCAATCACAACTCACTTTCGCTACTCAAATTATCTAACCGTTTAAACTTGGCAACACAATTGATGCAGAGGTACTCTGAAAGAAGTAGAAGGAGTTCTTTCATATAGTTTTTAAAGTTTCACATCTGTGAATTTGTCTTTATTATTTCCCGAAAAATCTGAGTCACACTGCGAACAAACTTTCGCGACTGCAACTGCTATCTTTGTTGACACTGGCAAGCTCGGCTGTAACGGCGGCTTAGCTGATTGGTTACTGTGAGAATGCGGAGCCAGCCAAGGGAGGTAATAAAATCATCGCCCCAAGCCGTGGATGCATCCAGGGTATAGTGGAGAGTTATCGTAACGTATACCCTGGCGATTATCGAGGATGACAGGCACATAGCTCTCACTAAAATTTATAATATAATTTTCAGGTACTAGAGTCTGGGTCGGGTTTTATTTCCCGGGTACTCCAGTCTGATTTTTGCTACCCTTCAGAGCCCTATAAGAAACAACCATGAAAAAACAGTGTCCTTGTCATAACCCCAATGTTAAAAGTTGAAGATTAAGGGGTCCCAGGAATAACGCACTCTACAGCGACAGCTTTAATATAGAACACTGCTGGGGTTGGATGTGTTTCAATACTTACTTGATCATGTGAGCCACCTCCCAGTTGGTCTGTGATACTATAGGCCCCTTAATAGATGCTCCATCCTTTGTCACTATGGCCACTTGGTACTGAAAGAAAATACATGATTATTATTAGCCATTTCTGTAGGTCCTTTTACGATTCACTGGTGTAGCTGGTGAAACGAGCTATATCCTGTTATGAATTCTTGGCTTGGGACACAAGAACTAGGCTTCACACATTCCACCCATGTGGGGAATGGACCATTGATTTCGCATGACAACTGAATGCTGGACGAAGTTACAAATGATCCTTGTGTTATGTATTTATGATAATAGACCAGATATATTTCAATTCATTGCTGATCCGTGAAGGTTAGGGTTAAAATATTGATCTTCAGTAACCCATGCTTGTCGTAAATGGTGACTAACAGGATCGGGTGGTCAGGCTCGCTGACTTGGTTGACACATCATTGGTTCCCAATCGCGCAGATCGATGCTCATGCTGTTGATCACTGGATTGTCTGGTCCAGACTCGATTATTCACAGACCGCCGCCATATGGCTGGAATATTGCTGAGCGCTGCGTAAAACTTAACTCCCTCACTCACTCAATTCGATGCAATTCTAGGGTGTGTAAATATAAAGATTCTGCTCACATGGGTGTCAATTGCATTTATCATCCAACTTGTAAGATAAATGGTATCTGACAGATGCTTGTTCAGTGAGTGAATGAGTGAGTATGGTTTTATGCTGCTAACAATATTCCAGAAATACTGTGGCATATCAGAAATTTTTCCTCACACATTGTACCCATGTGGGGAATCGAACCTACGTCTTTGGAATCACGAGTGAATGCTTCAACCACTAGGCTAGCCCACCACCCTTGTTTAGTTGTGAGTGAGTGAGTTTAATTTTACACCGCACTCAGCAATATTCCAGCTACATGGTGGCGGTCTGTAAATAACCGAGTCTGGACCAGACAATCCAGTGATCAACAGCATGAACATTGATCTGCGCAATTGAGAACTGATGACATGTGTCAACCAAGTCAGTGAGCCTGACCACCTGATCCTGTTAGTCGCCTCTACGACAAGCATGGGTTACTGAAGATCAATTCTAACCTGGATCTTCATGGGTCCCTTGTTTAGGAACTTTTACATAACCCAGACATGCATCCTACTACACTGTATGTACTATGTACCTTGTTGAGAGACCTGGCATCCCTGTAGTACAACAGACGCAAACATTTGTCCAGCAGCTGCTCTGCCTCCTCCTGGCTCATCTCAGGCTTCTTCTCTAGCATCTCTCATGATTGGCTGGAAGTATCAACACTATGATTGATATTTTCTGATTAAAATGAGTGAGTGAAATTTTTTTTAGATGAACAATTACAAAGTGTGTGTGTTATCCTATTTTCTGTGATTCTGATTGGTTGATGTGGAATCAAAACTGCAGGAAATCGGACAAGGGGCTGCTTTTCAAAGGGGTGTTTCCAAATTCCAGTGACCTCTATTTTGGCAACTGAACTTTTAGAAATGATACTGAAAAACCATTGTATAGGAACTCCTTACTTTTACCTTTGAGATTTGGCTATTTTCTGGCCATTTCTAGGCCATTTTTACAATCTGTTACTGTTACCGTTTGCTAAATGCACAAGAAACAAAAACATTCTCAAATGTATTACCTGTGCAATGTAGGCTCCATAACCAGTAGCTATTGAAGTTGACTGGTAGGCAACACCAATCTTGTCCACGTAACCCAGGAATCTGAAACCAAACACATCACAAGCTTTAATTCAAGGGAACTTAGGTTCCGGGCAACTCAATTCAGGAAGACATGGAGTGTTCTGAGGTCAAAATGAACAAAAGCGTGGTTGGTCTGAGACAAGTAAACTTCAGGAGCGAGTGAGTTTTGTTATGTGATGATTTTAGCAATATTACAGCAACACCTTGACAGAGGAAATCGGAACCAAACTTTACACATTCTACCATGTGGGAATCAAACCCAGGTCTTCAGAATTGATAACCTTGAATGTGAATGTGGGTGATTGGACAGTCTAGAGAGTGGTGAGTGAGTTTAGTGTTATGCCGCTATGAGCAATATTCCACAATATTATGGCAAGGGACACCAGAATGGGCTTCACATATTGTACCCGTGTTGGGAATCGAAATCCGGTCTTCGGCATGACGAGCGAATACTTTAACCACTAGTCTACCCATCTCCCCTCAGTCTAGTAGTTAAAGTGTTCACTTGTTTGATTCCCCACACGGGTGCAATGTGTGAAGCCCATTTCTGGTGTACCCTGCCGTAATACTGCTGGAAAATGGCTAAAAGTGGAGTAAAACAATACTCACCCACTCACTTACTCAATGACCTGAAATGTTCTTGCACAAGAGCTTAAAATCAACAACCAATACAAATACATCTCCTGGATACAAGTTCAGTACAGATCTACATTCAATAGCTGCCTTGTCTAAGCAAATCCTTGAAAATGAAACATTTTACCAAGACTGGGTGTAAAATAAATGGTTAGCTGGGAAAGATGTTTTCCTTTGTATTCAGACAGAAAATCCTTGCGCTTTAAGAAATTACAGTTTGAGAAAGCACAGTCAAAGTTCATGGTCAGTACTGGTCAGAACACCAATGGTATTTTTGAATATGTCTGGGCATTTAGTTTTCAAGCAACATCATTCAAACTGAACTGAAAAGAAATGTGCAGTCATTTATGGTGATTGATTGTTTAATGCTGCTCTGGTGGCAGTCTGTAAATCATTGAGTCTGGACCAGACAGTGATGGTGAATAAATCCTGACTGTTATTATATATTTACCAAAATTCAGGATTTAATACAGCTGATAGTCAAGAATGTGCTCAGGAGCAAGACAAAAGGTGTTCCATGTGTCCAAAGATAGCTAGTCCAGCACAAGGGGAAATACACCTACGGTTCATCCTTGTCCATGCCCCCAACAACGAAGACGTTCCAGAGAGGGTTGAAGTTGCTTCTCCTGTTGTAGAGGACCCGAGTAAGCCAGGAGAAAAGACTCCTGGGTGTGTAGCTGAAGCCATCATTTAGACACTCCTCGTCAATACTGAAACAAACACAATTCAAATATCCAATTTACTTAAATCCATATCACAAGTATTGATGACACATAATTACAAACTGGAATCTTACGCATTTTACACAGATTGCCATGCATATCCTCAGTTGTTTGAAATCTTAAAGTGATATGCAGCATGCTCAATCTTTTCTTATTTAAGTCTTTCAACTTAGAGGCTTGGTTTATGGACCTTAAAAATCACAAATTCATCAAACTATATCATCAGAATCACACAGTTTTCTTGATACTGACAACGGTAATGATGTCTTTGACAACAGAAGTAACCCAATGTCTTCTATGACTAAAATGTTTTCTAAATATAATCATTGTCATTAAAAACTCTGAGAAAACTAAATATATCCATTACAATACATCTTGCCCTCTCTCATATTGTCCAAATTATTCATCAAAAACTGCTTAAAGAAAATAATGTCCTCCTTACACTCTCTGGTTGATGATGGATCGTATAAACTGGAAGTCAGCATAGTCTCCACCAGCACCCAACACTGTTGTCTCGTTCACCTTCAATACACGAGAGATGTCGCGGAAACGTGCCATTGAGCCATATGACCCAAGCATATCAGCTGCAATGGCTATGCCACCATTGAACTTGATGCCTAGAACTGATGTACCAGTTACAATTGGATACCTGAAAATAAAATACAGAGAGATTGGAAAGATTTCCGCCTGTAACTGCCATATTTTCTTCTAATCATTCTATGCCTAAGAATATAGGCCTATGTTCTTTTTATAAAAAAACCCCTAAACCTAACCCTGAACCTAAACCCTAACCCCTCGAAATTATCCTAATAAATAGAATGCATTTCATCTTAATTCAAGTGGGGGAACTCTTCACCATCTGGACAATATAAATATACAGGAAATACCAGTACTGTTAATCACCGGGCATTTTCTCCATGTCCAAATTGTGTCTTATTCACTGAAGGCAACAGTATATGGAACTGATGGTAATAATATAAAAAGCAATACAAAACTGAGTTGTTTATATTTTGTGACAACACAAAGTATCATCATTACTCATGATTATAGACAAACAACTCTCTCAAATTACAAACATTGTAGTGATAGTGTCACACATCTGTCTGCATTGTCTGTGCCAGAACCTTTTGAGCATTACCAACTATGTGTGAATGCATTGTAGTCCCTTTTCCCAAATTAAACATAAATAAATTTTGATTTATCTCGGAATTTTAATTAAATGTGACATCGAAATGATCGAATTATGGACAGTGAATAATTCCACACAAAATAACGTAGTGATCACCGAAAAAGTATTACAAACAGTAAACTTCATACCTCGGGTATCAAAATGATTGTAGTGTTACTGTGACCAAACTGATGTCGGTTCGTTGCGGTTATGAAAAATACATTTTGCAGTACGGCATGACAAATCAAAATAGAGCTTTGCGTTCGTGTGCCACTTGGTCATATCTGAGAAAAACGTATAATTTCTATTTCAAAGGGTACTGTTAGAATCTTACATGGTTCTCTGTGTTCCCAAACTGCTGCATGACGAATTGCTCTGATTGAATTGATACAAACCACCGGGCTGGGGACCATTTCCCCACAAAGGAGACGGTGTTCCGAAATGAGTCGCCATGTTTCAACTTCGGGATATATATTACATACCCCTACCACTGGTATTAGTTATAGAGATTAGTAGAGATTACTTTCAATGTTACACCTGTTAAATTAACTCATACAATACAGACAATGATTCATTAAATAAATACAATTGTAATGTACCCTTATTTTATCAAATGCTTGAAATAAAAGTACGTTTTTCTTTTTGGCGCACAAATAGTTTGTACATTTGTGATGAGTTGATCGACAATGGCATTGTGACTAAACAGGGGCACGTAACTCTAAGTCACGAGAAATGAAAACTTCAGGCACAGTTTCTGTCAATTTATTAACTTATCGGCATCGGTAAGAGAGTTTTGGTCACCTGTGCGTGATTAAATGTCAGTAAGGATTGTGCCATTTTTTTCAAGAACACAAGATGTCTTTGGACGTATTAAATTGGCAACTGTTATGTTAAAATAAGCAAGAGATAAGGCACACGGCAGTAATACGATGATAGATTGATAATTGCCATTTCCGAAATAAAGATACTGTGTCAAAATGTCACAGGCTTGGACGCTTGACGTGGGCTCAGAACTAACTCTGTGTTCAAAGAACATTTTGCAAGATTACTCTAAGTATTAGAAATACATGTATATATGAGGCAGTTTTATACAACCAAAGAGATTATGATATCATTTAGTGGCATTTAGAATCTTTAGTATAAATGAAGACACCCCTACCACTGGTATTAGTAATAGAGATTAGTAGAGATTACTTTCAATGTTACACCTGTTAAATTAACTCATACAATACAGACAATGATTCATTAAATAAATACAATTGTAATGTACCCTTATTTTATCAAATGCTTGAAATAAAAGTACGTTTTTCTTTTTGGCGCACAAATAGTTTGTACATTTGTGATGAGTTGATCGACAATGGCATTGTGACTAAACAGGGGCACGTAACTCTAAGTCACGAGAAATGAAAACTTCAGGCACAGTTTCTGTCAATTTATTAACTTATCGGCATCGGTAAGAGAGTTTTGGTCACCTGTGCGTGATTAAATGTCAGTAAGGATTGTGCCATTTTTTTCAAGAACACAAGATCTCTTTGGACGTATTAAATTGGCAACTGTTATGTTAAAATAAGCAAGAGATAAGGCACACGGCAGTAATACGATGATAGATTGATAATTGCCATTTCCGAAATAAAGATACTGTGTCAAAATGTCACAGGCTTGGACGCTTGACGTGGGCTCAGAACTAACTCTGTGTTCAAAGAACATTTTGCAAGATTACTCTAAGTATTAGAAATACATGTATATATGAGGCAGTTTTATACAACCAAAGAGATTATGATATCATTTAGTGGCATTTAGAATCTTTAGTATAAATGAAGACACTGTTGACATATTGTTTAATAGAGATCACTGAACAGGCTAGAATGCACTTTACTGGGCGCGCAGCCCTCGCTGCTTCCTTTACGATCCTTAGGGTTAGGGTATGGCACCCTTTACGATCATTAAGGTTTAGGGTTAGGCACCCTTTACGATCCTTGGGGTTAGGCACCCTTTACGATCCTTAGAGTTAGGCACCCTTTACGATCCTTAGGGTTAGGGGTAAGGGTTAGGGTTAGGGAACCCCAGCAGCGCTAATTAATCTGAAAAAGTGCGCCCGGTAAAGTGCAGTACTCCCTCAATCTCAAAATGTTTTATGTAGTATGTGTCAAAAAAGTGTGACTCTACTATAGTCTGTTTGCAGTGAAAACGTACTGATGAATTTCACTTTAAGCAAAAAAGTAATTCAAATAAAGTGAAATTAAGATTGCGAATCCTCATAATTTTACCATGCCAATTGCACATTTAAATCTTAGAATTTTATTCAACTTAGGAAAAGAGTTGTTTAACATACGATCATAGTTTCAAAATGCTATTATTGGTTTGTATTACTAGGAGGTAAGCGCAGTAGTTGGAACAGTAAAACAAATGCATGTGCGATGCGTGATGAGCATTAACTTAGACCAGCCCCGCTTGTTCTCGGTGTTTCATGTAATGTGAATACCCCCGATTATGATTCAGTCATATGAATAGATAATAAGAGACATGTATTGTTATGCTCTTCCTGACTCTAAATGACTGCCTCCGTGGTGTAGTGGTTAGAGTGTCCGCCCGGAGAGCTGAAGGTCACGGGTTCGATCCTCGACCGTGTCATACCAAAAGACGTTAAAATATGGTACTTGTTGGTCCCTGCCTGGCTCTCGGCATTAATGGGTACAACAAGGACTGGTTGGCTCGGAGTCAGTATAATGTGTCTGAGTGGGGTATTCATGCTTCACTGCGGCATGGTATCTCAGTGGGCTAGCACTATAAAACCAGCTTCAGTCTGGGCTAGTACAAGCAGCCGCACATACACATACGCATGCATGCACATCGTCATATGAGCGAAATATTCTCAAGCACGACGTAAAACCCAATTTCACCTCACATCACCTCTGGCTAAATATTATGTTCCAGTTGAGCTACTCTCCTCAGAATGAGTGAGGATCAGACCCCTGAAGTAAAGCAGGAGAATGAAGCGGAGAATGAAGGGGAAACAGTGTTAACTGCGGGTAATGGTGGAAATCTTTTCATCTGCATACATATTGAAATGCTTGTTAATATCACATATATCTGCCAATGACTGTTATTTTTACTTATTCACTCGCTCTCTCATTAAACCCCCTCCCACTAACAGCCCCACCCCCACCTCCCTCCCTTACTCATCAAACCAGCATCCACTCACTCACTCACTCCTGTTCGGAAGTTTGATCCGTGAAGACCAAGGTTAGATTAGATCTTCAGTTACCCATGCTTGTCGTAAAAGGCGACTAACGGGATCGGGTGGTCAGGCTTGCTGACTTAGTTGACACATGTCATCGGTCCCCAATTGTGTAGATCTATGCTAATGCTGCTGGTCCAGACACAATTATTTACAGACCACTGCCATATAGCTGGAATATTGCTGAGTGCGGCGTAAAACTGAACTCACTCACGCACTCTGTTTTGATTTCAGAAGAGACAGAAAGGGAGATAACTCCTAAGCAGTCAGATGACCAACTGCTAGAAAAAGAACCAGCAGAAGTTGTAGAGACTGCTGAAGAAGAACAAGAGAAGAGATTGGAGGAAGACTTGGGTGAGACTCAAAATAGTTTGTGAAGTTAATTGATGCTGTTCCAACATCATGATATTGCTTCAATAGTTCCAAAAGGATCTATGTAGGATTGCTTTGGGGATGATATATACTAAGCCCTATGTCTACAACAAATGTTTTAGATTAATAACAAAATAAGTACTTGAAAAGGCTTGCAGAAGTTGGACAAACAGGAAGACATGACATGTTTTATGGATAACAACTTCTTTTTTTTTTCTTTATATGACGTTTCAGAGCCTGATGAAGGAGCAAGAATTAGCTCTGAAAAGTTGTATAAATAATAAAAAAGAAGTTGTTATCCATAAACCGTGCCCTTTACTCATACTAACAAAATAGCTTACTGAACATAATTTCGTACAGGGGTGTGCAAGCCCCTTTTGTCCTAAAAGTTTATTAAATGACCATTGAAAGGCTCGTGAAAATGAAGTGTGCTCTCCCCCTTTCTGAAAAAGCTGTATCCGCCACTGCAATGATATTTTTTGTTTCCAGAAGTAACAGTTGACCCTGAAATTGTTGAGAAACTAAGCTCAGGATTTCTTCAGACTTTTCTCCCTACTTTGGAGAAATCGAAGTCATCGCTTGAGGAAGTGCTGTAAGTATAACAGTAAATAAAACATACCCAGTGTTTTGGTGGGAGGGTTGCTTGTGTTGATACCCAGTTTCTGTTGTTTTTAGTCAAGATATGACACATTGAAATTTAATTGGTGACCAATTTTTAATAGCCTATGGACTTAAAGGCCAGGGTTCAAACCTATACACAGATGGGATGTGGCCACCTTGCCTTGTCAAAGCTGTCTTTCGATGCAAAGCATCGTATTCAAGTACATTCCATGAAATATCACAAAATTGACTTACTGGTTCATGATAAAATTAAGCCATAGTGTAAAGAAGTATGTTATGAAGGCTCACGGTAAAATGTATGGATGCAGACAGCCTACAAAACATGTTTATACCAATATGACAGTCGTAAGTCTACGTTAATGTATGGGAGTTGCGACACGCATTGCACTAAGATCGCTCTTCGGATGATGGGTCCTGATACACAAGTTGTCCCTTGGGTAACGACAGTCGTAAGTCTATGTTAATGTTAATGTATGGGAGTTACGACATATGTAGCACTAAGATCGCTCTTCGGATGGTGGGTCCTGATACACAAGGTGTCCCTTGGGTAACGACAGTCGTAAGTCTACATTAATGTATGGGAGTTACGACATATGTAGCACTAAGATAGCTTTCTGGATGGTGGGTCCTGATACACAAGGTGTCCCTTGGGTAATGACAGTCGTAAGTCTATGTTAATGTATGGGAGTTACGACATATGTAGCACTAAGATCGCTCTTCGGATGGTGGGTCCTGATACACAAGGTGTCCCTTGGGTAATGACAGTCGTAAGTCTATGTTAATGTATGGGAGTTACGACATACATAGCACTAAAATTGCTTTGCGGATGGACCGGCGAGTCCCGATCCACAACACATCCCTTGGGTAACGACAGCCGTAACTCTATGTTAATGTACAGGATTATGTACTTAAGATGGGTCTTAAAGGGTGGTATGTGCATATGACATGAAGGTTCTGTGTGAATGTGATGTTTGAAGGTGGTATGTGAATGTACTCTGTGAAGGTGTACTGTTATCTGAGGGTGTCGGGGTGTTCTACCCTTCTCCCTAGGCAATCTGTCTATCCACTCTTGTTCTGGGGATGATGTAGCTAAGATGGATAGTCAAAGATAAGTCCGGTATGTTGTTCAAGTCCATTTATTTTGGAATGAATTCTCACACAAAGGTCCTCAGATATTGCCTAGCTTTCCTGGTCTACACACAACACTGATTCACAAACTTCATGGAAGAACTTGTTGGATTCTTGTACAACTCCTAATGTTACAAGTTCATCTGAGCCATTCTCTCAATATACAGAGAGAACCTCTCAAGTCAACGGTGGGTTCCAGAATCGCGCTCTCTTCCTCGACTTCTGACAAAACTGTATCTCTGACAATTTTGGCTCCTCCCCCCGAAATAATGTCCTACGTCATACAAAAATGACTCATATCCAATCTTAATAATTAGTTACTTTCATTAGTCCCTTTCCGAGACTTCATTTGTTACCATCAAATTCTTCCAGTTATAAAATGACATTGCTAGTTATCCTTAAGCCATCCATCAACCAAACATTGACATATCTAACTAATATTTCAGACTGGTAGGCGCCAGAAGATACTTAATCAAATCATTTCAGATCCAATGCGTGCCCCTTTATTGACAAACTGATCAAACTGACCATCTGTATCCCAAATGTCCATCCACACAATTGTGTAGAAACACCTGTTTGAACCTTTCACCCTCATTTGTGTCAATTCAGAGAAATTGTTATTCCCCAAGAAAAGTAAATCAATAAGAGTTCGGTTAGCTTGGTCAGTGCACTTTCCCAGTACATTCACCCTTCTTAACTTGACTTCAAATTTTCCTTAAATATTTATAAAATGTATATAATGTTTTCAACTCTAAATATCCTGGTTATAGTACAGTACTGACGTTGGGTTCCAGGTCTAACCAGAAGATCCTGATAGACACTGTGGAACAGGAGAACTCCAAGTTCCAGGAATGCCAGTCTATGGAAGAACTCACCCAGACAGTAAGATCCAACCCAGTTGTTCCACACCAGTGTGTGTGTTGTTTAGGAGACATGCTTCCTTGGGTGTGTTTGTGACAAGATGCACTCAAGTTTTCCCGAACACGTGGTATCATCCCTATTCTTCTATTGTCTTTGGTCCATGTACATTTTTCAGTGTACATTTACCTCTGTATAAAGTCCTAATAAACTTGGGCCGGTGCGGTAGCTTGGTGGTTAAAGCATTCACTTGTCACGCCGAAGGTCCAGGTTCGATTCCCCACATGGGTACAATGTGTGAAGCCCATTTCTGGTGTCCCTGCTGTGATGTTGCTGGAATATTGCTAAAAGCGGCTAAAACCATACTCACTCACTCACTCACGCCGAAGGTCCAGGTTCGATTCCACACATGGGTACAATGTGTGAAGCCCATTTCTGGTGTCCCCGCTGTGATGTTGCTGGGGTATTGCTAATGCAGCATAAAAATATACTCACTCACTTCTAATAAATGTAAGTAACATTGTTGTGGAGGGTACCACTGTTAGTGGTAATAGTGATAACATTTGGCTGACACAACATTGATGATGATGATCGTGATGATGATGATGGTGAGGAGGAGGAGGATGGTGATAATGATGATGGGTAGTGATGGTAATGATCTAAATGATAATAATGATCTTAATGATGATGATGATGTTTCAGATGTTGAAGGCAAGGAAGTATTACAATAAACTGATCACCATCAAGAAAGAGATGTCCAATCTCCATGACAAGTCAGGGAAGCTCAAGGTATGAGTTGTTTTGGTAAAATCCTTTGTGGATTTTAGCATGTGCTTCATTGCAAAGAACTATCAGGAGGAGCAACATTGTGCTATTGTGTTAAAGCTACTTTGTGTTATTGTTATACATAAGTAGGTGGTAAAGCTAAACTGTGTTATTGTGTTACAGAAGAAGGTGGTGAAGGTACATTGTGTCATAAAAGCAGACAGTAAAGCTACATTGTGTTATTGTGTTACACAAGCAGGCTGTGAAGCTACATTGTGTTACAGAGCAGGGGAGTGAAGCAACATTGTGTTATTGTGTTACAGGAGACAGTGATGCTACATCGTGTTACAAAAGCGGGCAGTTATGCTACATTGTATTATTATGTTACAGAAGTAGGCAGTGGAGTTCCATTGTGTTATTGTGTTACAGAAACAGGCAGTGAATCTACATTGTGTTATTGTGTTACAGAAGCGGGCCGTCAAGCTGCAGCAGCAGCGTCAGAAGGAGGAGCTACAGAAGGCTCAGCAGCGGGAGAAGGAGCACGAGAAGGAGAGGATGTTGGCAGCGCGGGTTGCTGGACGCACAGACAGCTGATGCAGGCGTCCATGACACCTCTTGCCGGCTTCCAACACCTGTCAAATACTAATACTGCTTCATGAGAATCTATCACGTACCCATTCCACAAGTCAATGTCAGGACTCAGATGGTGGCAATCCTATACTGATGCATAGGAGTTACCATAGATGTAGCAATATGATTGGGTTATGGAATAGGATTGTGATAACCTTCGATCAGTCTAAGTAAACTTAGGCTCAGTATTATTCGTTACACTGCTATACTGAGTCTAACAAACCCCAGTAGAAGGTCGCATCAGCTAACCTTTTGAATTGACCAATCAGAACACAGGTTACCAAATCGCGAAAGATAACATGCGCACATTCTGTTTGAACTTTTACCTCGAAATCGTTTGTACTTGAACAATTCCAAATGCTATTTTCCGCACGATGGCTTCCGAGTAATACACATGGAGGACGCCATTACCCACAACAGTGAGTAAACAGTCGCTGTCATCTTGCGTAAATATAAGATATTATAGTAACCATGTCATCAGAAACCCCAAGGGGTAGATACTGCAGGTCAAATATCTGTGTTTTATGAGGATTTTCGTTTGTTGCCAACGAACCCTAAATAGTAGCCGTTGTCTGATTGGTTATAAATCCGTTTGGCCGTCTCGTGTTTGATTGGATGGTCATAGGTCGCTCAAAGGTTAGCTGACTCGACCTTCTACTAGGGTACTTAGACTCAGTATAACAGTGTGAGGAATAATATTGAGCCTATGTTTACTTAGACTGAACCTACGATATTACCATAACTGAAGCCTTGGGTTTGACTCAACAATGATTTCAAAATTCAAGGTTAAGCTCAATGCTCAAAGGAGTCCCTCCCCAAAGCACTCATACTGCTACTGCTGTTGTACGTCCATGTTGAAGTATTTTATTTTTCCTTATCCTGACTCATGCTCTTTTGCTTGTCTTCTTCTTCTTGCGAACATAGTGGAACACTTGTATCTCCTTATTTGAAGCTCCCTTCAAAATAAAATCACTAATTGGTACTCACCACGAGTTGCTCCCCTTTGTCTCCCCTGGCGGGAAAAGGTGTCGCCACCCTCTGGCCATGTGCTTCACTCTCTCCTTCTTCGCCCAGTGAGCAGGATGTGAGAGCGCCTTGTGTCTCCTTACACACATATCCTTTGATAATCTCTTAGTTTTACCTCTCATAGGTTACTATAGAGGTATAGCTAGTATCCTTTACTATTTGTATTGATTAATTATCGTATTTCTACTGTTTATTCACGTGTATTCGTGATTGTTCAGCTAGCTTTACGTTCATGAAAATCTGTACGATTTGTAGATTACGTTTTTCTGCCTCCGATCCACATGTAATATGCCCTAGTTGTTCTACGCCGTGTGCGTTTAATTCACGTTGCAGTTACTGCATTAATTTATCTCATTCTGCATTTAATAAATATCATCTTTGCGTCTTAAGACGTGCTGCAGATAGATCACGCAAACAAGGGCAAAACATGGCAGAGAGTCCAGATATTCCTTCCAGTCAGCTGCTAGCGATCGACCCTCTCCCGTCTGGTGTTCTGCTAGAGACCCCTGCGGCAGAGGAACGTGGGACGCAGTCCGTTACCTCGAAGAAACGACCGGCCTCCCCAGACATCCCGTCATTGCAGACTAAGTCTAAGAGGGCCTCATCGTCGTCTCAACGCAGATTGAGGACACCAGGGCAGCGCGCAGACTTCAAAGGAAATCTACGAAGACAGCAAGAACTTTCTCAGCCGAGATCGTTCCAGCAGCAGAGTTGGGCCTCTACGATGATCAGCCGATAATCATCCCCGACTTACGGCAGAAGAAGCGACCGGTGTCAGCGACTGTGACTTCTGCAGAGATCTCCATGCAGCCTGATGCCTCTACACCGACGTCAGACGTCATTGATGTGAACCCCATCGCAGAAAAGACGCCGACGACTTCGTCACAGATCATCCCAGAAGACATGATGCGGCAGATTATGAACATCATGGAGGACCACTACAAACTGCGCAAGCAGGGTCCGAGCCTTCGCGAAGGCTCCAACGTAGACAGCACCCCAGAGGCACCCCCCGTCAACGTAGCAGCCAAGACGATGTCACCTTCGCGAAGGAAGTCCCGCACCACCTTGACGAAGGACCTAGATGTACAGCCTTCGCGAAGGCCTTCGCGAAGGCGGGAGAGATCATCACCATCTTCGATTTCATCTCTAGATATGGACTCAGACCATCAGACATCACGGAAGCCTTCGCGAAGGTCATATCATCGATCCCCCGGACCGGACGCAAATGAAGCTTCGCGAAGGCATTCGCGAAGGACATATGATTCCAGATCTTCATCGTCTAGAAGAACATCGAGGGACTGCCGAAGAGCTTCGCGAAGCTATCAACATTCACCTCACAAGTCTCCGAGAAGATCATCCCATAGACGATCTCCACTCCGTTCATCACCAGGTCGATCACCCATCAGATCTCCACATAGAGCGGCGCACAAGTCAACTAGATCGCCACAAACCTCATCAGATATACAGACAGCTACACGCAGTCCCGAAGAGCATCTACAATTTATTAATGATGATGGTTTTGAGGATGATGGAGGAATCATATTTTCTGATGCAGAGATACGGTATTGGATGGTCAATAACCTAGATCTCACATCACCATCTAAAAGTGGCAATACAGCTCAGACGTATTTGATGAAGGAAGATGATCCAGATGCAATCACTCTACCCCCGATCGACCCGATTGCGGCAGTGCCACAGAATCTAGATGCAGCTTTCCAGAAAGCTACGAAAGTTCAGATACCACATCTACCCAACTTTCAAGCCAAGAAGTTCTCCACGCATAACATGGACTCCTTCTACAAGGCCCAGGACATCGATGAGAACTATAAGATCATCAGCGATGTAAAGAACAAGATTTACAAGATGGATGATCGCAAGTTGGCTCATATAGAAACCATGACGAGACGTATGTTCTTTGGGTTAAATAGATCTAGGACGATCAATGAGACTCTTATTACTAGATTCCGGGATTCCACGACGGAAGATGATAGAATGATTTATTCTGCCTTACTTATGCAAAAGAAAGATCAGCAGTTTTTAACGGATCATCTTACATCTGTTTCAGCAGCACTGACCTTAGCTCGTCGTCAAGGCCTCCTCGCCTCCTGTAATTGGGGGGAGAACTTTACAGCCCCACTTTATACAGCCCCGTGGTCGACAACATCCATCTTTGACGGAGAAATCGACAAGGTCGCCAAGGAAGTCTCTAAGGATTCCAGGGAAGTCCTTATGATTAGATCGATGGACACACTAGCCAGCGTCATTCGTCAGACTTCACAAAGATACTCAGGCAGATCTAAGTTCACGGGCCTACAAAGAGCAAGAGACAGGAAGATAGCCAGCTCTAGAGGTAAAGATTCTTTTCGTCGCCCATATGGCAACTATAGAGGAGGATCAGGAAGAGGCAGGACACCCAGAGGTTCCCGCAATTATAGACGCTGAAACACAGGTTCGGAACGACTGGAGTCTTCCACCCCCAGCCGTTCCAGTACAACCAGCTCAAGTGGGTGGACGCCTCCAACTACACTGGGAAAACTGGGGAATACTGCAAGATCCTTACGTCTCCAACATTATTCAACACGGATTTCGTATCCCTCTACAGGACAAGCCTCCGCTGACAATCAAACCCCCCAAGTTCGATTTACAAGCGCAACAACTACCAAAGATAAAAGAGGCTGTCTCATCACTCCTATCCAAACAGGCCATAGAAGTAATAGATCAAGCAAACGTCGAACCAGGTTTCTACTCCCCAGTTTTCCTAGTTCCCAAGAAAAACTCCACGGAGAAATACAGACTCATCTACAACATGAGCTTTTTCAACAAGAACTATCTCATAAACCACCGAAGTTTCGCATGATACATTTACCTCAGTTACGCCAGATGATTCGTCCTATGGACTACATGGGCAGCATAGATCTACAGGATGCCTACTTGCACATCCCCATTCATCCCGATTCCAGGAAATACCTACGATTTACTCTAGAAGGGCTACATTACCAGTGGAAAGTACTCCCATTCGGAATATCATCAGCCCCCTGGCTATTCACGAGGATAACGAAACCGATTATCAAATTTCTACATCGTCAAGGGCTACGCGCAGTGCGTTTTACCTCGACGACGGGATACAAGTAGATCAAGATCCACTCGCGCCTCAAACTACAGTTAAATTACATCATAAAGCTACTAACACAACTAGGTTGGTTAGTAAACTTACGCAAGTCGGACCTAGTACCATCGCAAGACCTACAGTTCCTAGGTATTCGATTCATCACAAATCGCAACCGTATTATGGTACCAGAAGACCGTTGGCTCAAGATACAACAGACCATTCCACCAGCTCTACTCTCTCGTTACCACTGCGACAATGGCAGAGCCTACTAGGTCTTCTCACATCAGCCCAAGACATGACTGTCACAGGCAGATTACAGTTACGCCCCTACAGGTCCTCATCAACGCACATCTCAACGATGTACAACCATTCAGTCTACCGAAAACATCTCAGACCACATCTACTATGGTGGACCAAGAAATCGAATGTCTGCGAAGGGATTTGTTTAGCAGAGCAGGAATACAAAACCCATCTGTATGTAGACGCTGCGTACCTCAAGGTTGGGAGCTCATCTCACCAACCACACGATATCAGGGTTATGGAATCAGCAAGAATGCAAACTCCATATAAACAGTCTAGAAATGAAAGCTGTAATCAACGCCATTCTACATTGGAGCACATTTCTACAAAATGCGGCCTAATGATCCATACAGACAATTCGACAGTGGCGTTCTACATAAACAAGCAAGGCTCAACGAGATCGATGAACCTTTTGAACCTAAGCTTTTCAACTGTTCGATTTAATACAAGATCTAAATCTACATGTCAGAGCAGTGCACATTCCCGGAGCCAGAAATATACTAGCAGACGCTCTCTCTCGGCCTCATCTACCATCACCGACAGAGTGGATGATCAACCGAAATTTTTGCACAGATAATCAAGCAATTAGAGCGCGGCTAATAGACCTATTCGCCACGCGATTCAACAATCAGCTACCGACATTCGTGTGTCACCAGTCCCAGACCCCCAAGCTTGGGCAACGGACGGCTCTAAGTCTATCATGGGAAGGCCTCAATGCGTGCGCCGCTTTCGCGCCAGCAATAATACCTCAAGTATTACAGGAAATCAGACAAACACAGAGCCTACAACTCACTTTGGTCAAGCCCTTACTGGTCGGCCAGAACGTGGTTTCCCATACTAATTCAAGAAA